AAGACCTGCCTCAAAAAATAAAAAAAGGGCTGGGATATAGATCTGTATGAAGGCCCTAGGTTCAATCTCCAGTACCACAAAAACAAAATAAAACCACTTTTGCCCTGCTGAGGGCTGCCGCCTGACTGTCAGCACACACAGGCCAGGGCTCTCTTGAATTCACACTCCTGTTTTACTTCACCAACCTAATGGGCAATCACCTTGTTCTGTTTTTATTACTATTTTCTCCTGTATTGTTATTTGATTTCTCAGCTCCTTCTCATATTCTATTTCTCCTATCAGGTCACAGCCTCCCTAAGGGCCAGGGGCCAGTACAACACCTGGCCCACAGAGACAGCACCACCTCCATTCAGATGTGCGAGGAGAAAGGGCCTGTGTTCAGGGGCAGCAGCTCAGGGCCTCACCGTGGGCTTCGTGACAAAAGAGATAGCAGGGGTTCACACTCACGCGATCTGGAGCGCTCGGGTCCCCAGTACACGGGCTCGCTCATACTTGGTCATGTATGGGGTGGTGATTCGCTTCTGGTTGGCCTGGGGTCGTTCCCCAGAGGGGAGGATCTCCACGTTCTCCTGGCCCTCCTAGACACGAGACAGAACAAGGAAAATCTCAGGGTGTGTTTTTGGGGTGGTGAGGTAGCAGTGACAATGACAAGCACTACTACCACCATTGATGCTGGCTGGGTGCCAGGGACGTGGAACTGCTCGCTAACTCCCCATGTAATCCTCACAGTAACCCAGGAGGCAGGGATTACAGTCTCCATGCCAGGGGCTTGGAGAGTCAGCTAATTGGGCCAGAGCCTCAGACCTAACATTGAGAGGAATCATGATCGAGAATCCAGAGCCAGTTGCTCATGCAGAAGAGACAGAAGCTTGGCCTGGAAAAGGGATAGTCCCTGAGCAGTGTATGAGCACGGCCAGGGATGCAGCTCAGCGGCGCCACACCTGCCTGGCAAGTGCAAGGTCCTGAGTTTGATCCCCAGTACTGGTGAAAAAAAAGTCTATAAGCACACCTTAAGGACATCCTAAGCACAAGCTTCTCACTCATTTTCAGGTAGGGTAACTGAGCCAATGGGCCAAGTGGCCAGCAAAACAAGGGTGAAGGTGGGAAGAATAACATTCCAACAGCTGCTTATTAAGTACCAGTCCTGTGCCACGGCACTTCAAGAAGTGCTGAGACACAAGGCTAAAAGTTTCCACTCTCTGAGAAGCCACACCCTTGAGGGGAACTCAAGAGGAAATAGTCCCAGCACTCAGGAGGCTGAGGCAGGAGGATCGCTGTGATTTCAAGGCCAGCCTAGGCTACCTGGTAAGTTCAAGGCCAGCTTCAACTACATAGTGAGATCCTGTCTCAAAACAAACAACAAAAATAAGAGAAAAAAGAAGTGGTTAACAAGCCGTTAGGGTCACCTACCTCACTGGCTGTCAGGAAGACTGACCACAGACAAGACAAGCTGATCCAGAAGGCTGAGCAGGAGCTGCCAAGCCACTGCAGAAGGGAAGGGCATCCAGGCAGGTGGAGTGACAGTGCAAAGGCAGAGGTGGAAGAGAATGTGATAGGTTTGGGCAACTAACTGTGGGCTATGATCCTAGCACCACACACCACCAAAAACAAACAAACCCAGGAACAGCAAGAACGGCTAGGATCACAGAGGAAGCAGGCAGCCAGGTCCCGGAAGACTGTACATGCCCCTGCCATTTACGGAGGAGGGTTCTAAGCAGAGGACAGACATGGTTTGATGAGGCTGATAAGGTCACCCTGTAGACTCTGTTGAGAATATGCTAAAGGCGTGAGGGCAGAAGCAGTGACATCACTGTGGGAGCCCAGCCACAACTGGTCATATGGGCAGGAAAGGACAGTGACTGAGGCAACAGAATGGCAAATGGAGCAGAGGTGAGATGGGGCAGCCAGCAGCCACACAGTTCCTGCCAGAAGGCTGCCTATGGGTGAGCAGCAGTGATAACTAGGCCAGGCTGAGGCCTGGAACAGAGAAACAGCAGCAGGGTGGCGTCAAGTCTAGGAGGCAAAATCAAAAGAATAGAGATGGGGCAGGGACTAGAAGGTAGAGGAAACTTCTCACTCAAATGAGCAGGTATGCTCAAGGTGCCATGCAGAGAGGAAAGATAAAAAGAAGGGCTTTGGCTTCCCAGCCTAAAACAGTCAAGAAACTTCTTGGAGACACGTAGGTGTCCTCCCTCCAGTCACACAGGACAGGAAGCCCTATTTATTCAGGAAGCTGGCAACCCATCCAGCCAGCTGCTCCCTGTCAAACTACTTTCTCAGCCCTCTAAAATACATCTTTTGTCTTCTCATCACTTACACTACCAGACCCCAATCCAAGCCAGAGGTCCCTAATTTGTTTCCCACTCTTGTCCCCCTCCAATTCACTCCACAATCCTGAGGCCGGAACCTGCTTACTAAAATGAAAACCAGATCATTCTGCTCCCTTGTTCAAAACTTGTCAGTAGGTTTTTACTGCTTTCTACTCTGAAATCCTGCTTCATGTGGGCCCTGCTGCCCTTTGCAGCTTTATCCCAGGACGCTGTCCCCGTGCTCCTTATGCAGCCCCAGCCTGCAGAGTACCTGACAAGTAACAAACAGTCAACACATGTTTGCTGAATGAATGAAGGTGATGTTTCGCCTATCAGTGAACTGTCCCAGAAGCCGTGGGCTGTGTATCAAGTGGACAATACCTTCAGGCCCACTTTTCAGGGTTGCTCTGCTACCCAGGACTGGAAAACTGATCACTCTAACTGGGATGCTTATGGCAGAATCCAGACCTCAAATGAGAGGCAGCAACATTCGGGTAATTATCATCTGCCTTGCTTCTTGGCACTCCAGCTGTGGAATAGGAGCCTAAGGCTTGTCTTAGACACTTTCTTGCTGCTGAGACACAATACTGGACACTTGCAACTTAAAGGAAGGAGAGGTTTATTCTGGCTCACATTTCAGTCCATAATCAGCTGGCTCCAAGGCAGAAGGGCATGGCAGAGGGGCTGCTCACAGCACAGCAGCAAGGAACCAAGGGAGGAGCCAGGGAGGGAGATAAACCCAGGCCACACCCCTGTGACCAACTCACCCAACCAGACTGCACCTCCTACAGCCAGTCACCCATAAACCCCATAATCCAACCACCTTCCAAAAGCCCCACCTACCAATGAATGAGGTTCTTGGAGAACATCTAGATATAAACCGTTCCAGGCTGAATACTGACCTCCTCAGCATTTTCCAAGTCATCTAGTCCTTCATCCTCCTCGACATCATCAAAGTCATCACCATCAAAACTGTACAGAAGAGGGCCAGGGATTTAGCTCAGTGGTTCCACCGCCTGCCTTGCAAGCGCAAGGACCTGAGTTCAATCCCTGGTACCAAAAAAAAAAAAAACTGTACAGAAGAGAACAGTTAATCACCTACTAGAATCAAAGAGGCAGAGAACTATGTGTTAGCTGATATACAGGAGGCACTCGATAAATATCTACTTAATAGCCAGGCACATGCCTGTGATCCCAGCACTTGGGAGGCTGAAGCAGGAGTTCCAGGACAGCCTGGGCTGCCTAGCAAGACCCTGTGTCAAAAAACAAAAACAAACAAACAAAACCTTACTTCGGGGCTAAGAATGTAGCTCAATGGTAGAGCATGTGCTTAGCATGCATGAGGCTCTGGTTCAGTCCCCAGCACCCAAAAAAAAAAAAAAGGCTTCACTTTTCTTTCCCCCTCCCCCAGCAGCCCTAATTCCATTCTCCCTTTTGCAGCAAAATTTGTGAAAAAGAAGGTAGGTACAGCAGCACATCCATGTAATCCCAGTACTCTAGGAGACTGAAGCAGGAGGACCTCAAATTCAAGCCCAGCCTAGGCAACTTAGCAAGTCCCTGTTTCAAAAAATAAAAAGGGTTGAGATGTAGCTCAGTGTGAAGGCCCTGGGTTCAATCTCCAGTACCAAAAAAAAGTGAAAGAGCTATCCAACCTCACTGTCTTGAACTCCTCTTCCCATTCATAATCTCACTCTAACAAGACTTTCACCCTCACAGCTCCATCAAAACCACTCTTTTCAAATTCATTAATCATCTTCACGTTGCTAAATCCAGCGGGCAATTCTCTCATTCAGCTTGATCAGCTGGCACACCAGGCTCCTCCTTCCTCCTTCCTATGAAATACTCTCCTCACTGGACTCCAAGAAGTGGCTGTTGGGTGGCCCCCACTTCTCTCTTCTTTCTCTCTCTCTCTGGGAGACTCTCCTCCTTTCCCTCAAGGCCTCAAGGCTGGGTCGAACAACTCCTCTACTGGCACTCTGCCCTGAGGATGCCTTGGTTTGAACTAACATACTTAATGCTAAGGACTCCCATATTTTTATTTTCAGGATCGATCTCCCCACTGTCTGCACCCACACATTCAACCCATCATGAAATCTTTTTGGCTCTACCTTTAAAATATATCCAGAATTCTAACCCATTTCTCACCACCTCTACTACTATTACCCTAGTACAAGCCCCCGACTTCTCTAGAACCCCAGATTTTACCACCCGGGGAAGCCGCCCCAGATCATCCTCTGGATTACTTCTTACCTCCCCCTTCCAGCACTACTAAACCCACACGACACCGTATTGCTCTCAATACAGTATTCCCATTACACGACACAGAGCCCAGCTCAAGGGAAAGTATGTTGAAAGACACCTTTTTCGCTGACCCACTCTGGACTCTCGAACCCGAGTCTTTCTTTGTCCAACCTCTGCCTAGGTCTATGCTCCTAAATCTGGCTCTTCCTTTCAGCTCGGCCAGTTCCCTCAATACCCAATCCCTCCATACCTCGCCTCTTCTGAGGCTCTTGAAAAGGCCACTCTGCGGGGGTACTCACTTGTCCTCGTTGTCTGACATGATACCCTGGCCGCAAAAACGCCACGAGAGTCACCCGCAGACCCCGCAAACTGCGCGCTTCTCACTCGAGCACCACCACGCGTATCCTGCGCCTGCGCTGTGACCCTGAGGCAATCACTTCCGGGAAGCAGCTAGAGCGGCAAGGTGTGCCGGCGCAGGGCGGCACCATTTGTTGCCATGGTAACCAGAGCCACTGGGAGCACGCGCTAGTGTCTCGATCCCACGTTATCTCTGCCAGACACGGGCACTCTATGTAACGCGGGCGCACATCAAATCGAAGTCTTTAGGGTGAGGTTTCAGTTTTGTGTGACTGAGGCTATTTTAACGTTTTCTCTTCCCCCCGGGACTTATCCGCCACAGGCACCGGGAGTCGGGATGAGGGCTCATCTGCCTAGTCGGGAGGATGGAGGAGCACAGATTGGGGCTAGGAGACAGGAGGTATGTCATTGCGTCTTTCCCTCCTAGGGGTCTCCAATGGCTTCGAAGGAAAGGGTGGACACAGTGATCAAAGGAACAGGGTTTGGGCGCAGCCCCAAGCTGGCCACTTACACACCAGGAACGTGCGAGCTGCTCAAAGGTCAGTAGGTTAGAGGACTAGAAGTATAGAGGATACAGGAAAGGAGTGGCGATAACAGCCTGTGTAACTCATTTCTCCCCTACCTGACCTCTGCCTTGGGAATGGCTATTTTCTTTCACACGTAAGGAGCCTCGGGTTCAGAAAGGTTCAGGGTACTATCACCTACAAAGGGCCAAAAATCAAAGAACTAAGAATTTTGTTTGTTTGTTTGTTTTTGTTGTTTTGTTTTGGGGTTTTTTGGTACCGGGGATCGACCTCAGGACCTTGCGCTTTGGAGGCAGGCCTGGTGCCACTGAGCTAAATCCCCGGCCCCATAACTCCTACTTCTTTGTCTTTGTTTTGAGACAAGTTTTCATTATGTAGTACCAGCTGGTCTCAAACTTGGAATCCTCCTGCCTCTAGGCTCCCTAGTGCTGGGATCACAGGTGTGTGCTAGGATCCTACTTCCTATGCATCCTTTACATTTCAATGTCAGCATTCCCAGAGAACATTTATCTCCTCCCCCTCCTCACCACCACCACAGAGGATCCGGCCGGCATTCACATTACCCAATACATCTCCCTTCACTGGGCTCAGCACAAGGTACAGTCAGGTACTTTGTGTCCCATCTCCCCTCTAGATAGTGAATTCCATCAGGCAGGACTATGACTGTTTCTACTCATAACTGTAGCTTCCGCCTCGGCACATGAATGAACGAATATTCATTCATTTACCCAATAAAAAAATGTTTAAATCTACCATGTGTTTTGGGCACTGTTTTAGGTGCTGGGGGTACAGCAATGGAAAAGAAACAGAAAAAAAAACTGCAAAAATTCTTCCTGTTATAGAGCTAATATTAGAGTAGGAGGGTACCAATAAAATATGTAGTACTGGGGGCATAGCTCAGTGGTAGAGCATATGCCTAGCATGCATGAGAACCTAGGTTCAATCCCTAGCACTACACATGCCAAAAAAAGTCTTTTATAAAAAATGCAGTCTAATGGGCCGGGGATTTAGCTCAGTGGTTCCGCTGCCTGCTTTGGAGGCATAAGGCCCCAAGTTCGATCCCCAGTACCAAAAAAACCAAACCAAACAAAAAAAAAATGTAGCCTTAGCCGGGCGTGGTGGTACACGCCTAAATCCCAGCACTCAGAAGAAGGCTGAGGCAGGAGGATCATTCGAGTTCGAGGCCACCCTGGGCTACATAGTGAGTTCAAGGCCAGCCTGAATTACATAGTGAGACCCTGTCTCAAAAAATAAATAAATAGGGCCGGGGATTTAGCTCAGTGATTCCGGCGCCTGCCTTGAAAGCACAAGGACCCGAGTTTGATCCCTGGTACCAAAAATAAATAAATAAATAAATATAAAAATTAAAATGTAACCTTATATAAAACTTAGCAACAGTCCTACTTTCAGGAGCCTAAGGCAAGAGCATCACTAGATCCCTCCCGGGCAATACAGCAAGATCCTATCTCAAAAGAAAACAAAAAAACAAGCTTAGGTGAAGACGTGCTATAGAAAAAGTGAAGCAGAAGAGGGAAAGTGCTCAGTGCAGAATGGAGGTAGCAGGTGATACAATTTGAAATTTCACTAGGGGGAGATGCAGGCCCACTACAGCTCAGAAAGCCTCACGGAAGTGCTTTATCTTGCAGCAATGATGAAGGAATCGAAACTGACTAACTTCCAACAGCGCCACCTCATGGACAGCATAAAAAGTAAGAGACACCTGGTCTGCAGAGGCTCCCTGGACAGAGGGATCGGAGCCATAGTTTTTATGCTCTTCCATGTTAAGAGAGAGAGGACATCATTTTAAAAGACTGGCAAAAAGATGAGGTCTACCGAGTATTTCTGGCCTTTAGACCTTGAGATGCCTTTGCTTTTTCTGATCTGGATCCTGGCACAGTAAGCCTCCTGCAGTCAGGCTCTGGCTGACCTTCCAGAGGAATCTTGGCCCAGTCAAGACTCCCCCAGGGCATCGCCCAAATAGTCCCAACCCTGTGGTGCTTGCAGTCTGTCCCTCCCTGACATAAACCTATGAGCCCTCCAAAGGGAACATGTATGCGTTTTATTCATTCATAGTTTAGCTCTCAGAAACAAGATGATTGGCTGAACTCCAACTCAGGACAGCTATGCAGAGCCTTTCCACACTTCGTGTTATTTTAAAAGAAAAAATCAGCAAGGTGCCCTCTAAGATCTAGAAAATGATCTTGCATTCTCTGGTTTACCTGCATGAACATTTGGTGCACTGGGCATGGTGGTGCACGCCTGTAATCCCAGCACCCAGGAGGCTGAGTCAGGAGGGTCCCTTCGAGTTCGAGGCCACCCTGGGCCACATAGTGAGTTCAGGGTCAGCCTGAACTATATAGTGAGACCCTGTCTCCAAAAATAAAATTTTTTTTTTGGTGGATCAGGACAGAGATCTGTGGGGGATGCCTTCAAGAGAGAAGATACAGGCTGCGTGTAGTGGCATGTGTCTGTAATCTCAGCTACTCAAGAGGCTAAAGCAGGAAGATTGCAAGTGCAGGCCAGCCTGGGCAATTTAGCAAGATCTTGTCTCAAAATAAAAAATTGTGTTTAAAAAGGGTTGGGGGCCCAACTCAGAGGTAGAATACTTGCCTAGTATGTGCAAGACCAGAATATAAATTAGTGAATGCTAGCAGGTCTGAACCCTCAGAGTTTCTCTTGAATCTACCAAAAGGGAAAGAGAAACAGATGCTTTTGGTAGATTCAAGTGAAACTCCACAGGCTCAGAAGACCTGGCTTCTTTCTCTCTCTCTGATTCTTTGATATTGGGATTATATTCAGGCCCTCCACACTGAACTATGTCCCCAGCCCTTTAAAAAAAAATTTTCCCCCCCGCTGCCTGCCTTGCAAGCGTAAGGACCTGAGTTCAATCCCCAGTACCAAAAAAAAAATTTTTTTTTTTCTGGTATCTAGGATCAAACTCAGGACCTTGCACTTGCAAGGCAGGCATGGCGCCACTGAGCTAAATCCCCAGCAAAAATTTTCTTTATTTTGAGACAAGGTCTCACTAAATTGCTCAGACTGGGGTCAAACTTTATAACCTCCTACCCCAGTCTCTTAGTGGGCTGGAATTGTAGGCGTGTGCCAACATACCCAGCAGATACTGCCTTCTCTAAGGAAAGAATATGCCTATCAGGAGGGCTTTTGATCAATCACAGAAGCAGGTGGGAGAGCCACAGGCCAACATGAGCAGTGCCTGTCCAGCCCCAACTGCAGAAGGGAGGCTACCAGGCTAGTGTAGGGTCAGATCTCCTCCCACATTGTGGACAGGAACAACTCAGGCCACCAAAGATTGGTGCCATTACACATTTGAATCCTATAACTCAGTCTCTGTACCCAGAAATGTAATAATGTGGTGTCCTCTATCGCTTAACCACAAAGAGATCCCCCCACCAAAACAGCATCTGGCTCACTAACCCACACTAAAGCAGGTGCTTGATCTTGGAAAAATGACGGATGATCTGGGCATGGTGGTACATGCCTGTGATCCCAGCACTCGGGAGGCTGAGACAGGAGAAGCTGAGACCATGGGTTGGAGGACAGCCTGGGCTGCACGGTGAATTCTAGGCCAGCCGGAACTACGCAGCAGCTGAGGCCAGCAGGGGGTTAAACCCATGGGAGTGAGTGAAAAGAAAGCTTTCTTTTTAAAAAGCCGCCCCCAGGCCTTGGTGTGGTCTGCCTTCTTCTCCTGCAGGTCCCACCCCTCCTCTTACCGAAGCCTGCGGGCTCTTTTAGGTTGGCTCAGAGGCTGTGCAAGCCACGGGCCCTCAGCTCACTGAGTACCCAGGCTCTTTGCTGAGATGGGGCAAAGCCAGAGGCAGGACAGGAAGGGCAGAGGAGGGGACATTCTGGGGAGCACGGAGTCTCTCCAGGGAAGGGAGGGTAAGGGGTGGCAGGGCTCTAGGTGGAGGGCGGGAGAGGGCCAGGCAGGTGGGAAGACGGCAGCTGCTTGGCCTTCACACCTGACCCGGACCCCCTCTCCCCATCTCGCCTGTCACCACCACCGCCCAGGACCCCAGAGCCACCCCCAAAGGCGGTCTCCCTGCACTCCAGCCTGTATGCGGGATTTTCAGTGGCAGCAAAGGTCACTCCTCCAGCCTCCAGCCTCCAGCGGCCTCTGTGACCTCTGCCCTTGCCCCCCAACTCACTCCATCTGAGCCTGAGCCTCCTGGGCCTCCTGTCCCTTAGGCGCCCGGGTACGCTCTGCCTCCAGCCTCCACTCCAGCTGTTCCCATGCCGAGAATGCCCTTCCCCAAGGTATCTGCAGAGCCGGCCTCCCTGGCATCCTCTGCTCTTTTCTCAAATGTTCCCTTCTCCTCCAGGCCTCCCTGGTCAACCTTTCAAACTGATAGTTCCAGCCAGGAGAGGCGCCACACACCTGTAATCCCAGCACTGGGGAGGCTGAGGCAGGAGGATCACTTCAAGTTCCAGGCCAGCCTAGGTTATACAGTGAGTTCAAGGCCAGCCTGAACTACATAGCAAGACCCTGTTTCAAACAAAAACTGTAAGTCCCACTGGGACATACCGGTGACCCAGCCATCTGACACTGTGTCACCCTATTGTCATTCATACCCCTCCCGACATAAGCCCCAGGAAGGCCAGACTTCACCTACTGCCCACTGCCCTCGGTGGCCAGGGCCTGGGACAGAGGAAATGCTGAACCCACATTTGACGAATGGATTTGTAGAGGGCTGGAGCAGTAGAAAGGACCAGCTCAGAACAGTGGGTGGGGCCTGCTCCACACTGGCCTCTCGGGCAGGGGAGAGAAGGGACCAAGTGAGCAGACAGGAGCAGGAGAGGACTCACTTGGTGGCCTGGGAAGGGTCCCCAGGCGTGGGCCAAGGTGGGGTCACAGCAGGAGGACAGGTGTCTGTCACCCCCCAAACTGTCCCTCCCAGCCCATGGCTTAAGCAGAAGGAAAACAGAACAAACGCACACTTTCAAAGACTTGACGTACAAGAACGTTTATTGCAGCACTGTTGGAAGTAGTAAAAAAAAAACTGACAGAAAAACCTAGAAACAACCCAGTTCTGAAACTAGGAGACTAGCTGAATAAATAATATAACCATTCTAACCAGTATATAGCTATAAAAAATAAGTTATATATAAACATTTTTTTGGAAAGCTGTCCATGATAAATTATTGAATGAAAAGGGTGGGTTACTGACTACAAGACGATATGACCCAGTGTTTTGAAGTCAGTCTTGTGTGCATATAAAAAATATATATGCACATGTATCTCTGAACATGTTTATCATCAAAAAGGAAGGCAAGATCACCAAATTGCTACCATTCCTCATCACAGAGGGGTAGGCTTGGAGGGGGACAGGAAGACTCTTCTGCACCATTTGACTTATAACAGGGGGGGCATCACCTTTACTGGGGTGGGGGGAAGCCAGGCATCGTGGTGCACACCTGTAATCCCAGCACCCAGGAGGCTGAGGCAGGAGGATCGCTGTGAGTTCAAGGCCAGCCTGGGCTACATAGTGAGTTCAAAGCCAGCCTAAACTACATAGCGAGACCCTGTCTCCAACAAACAAAGCCAGGCAGGTCCCACTGACCTTCTGTCCCCAGGAGGAGACCCTCTGCCCCTACGGTGCAGCCCAACGTCAAGCCAGACAGCCTCACCTTCCAAGCAGCCAGCCTCGGCCATCTACCTGCCTCCCATCCTGACAGCCCGGTCCCACCTCCGGCCGGCCAGCCTGTGCCAGGCCAACGGGGCCTACAGCCGCGAGCAGTTCAAGCCTCAAGCTACCAGTAAGTGACACCGCCTGGGCTAGTAGCGTCCTGTCTTACAGGGACGTGGGAAATGGGCAATAGGCAGCCCCCAAGGCAGGGGAGCAGGTATCTAACCAGCTTCTCCTGCCTTTACAGGAATGCTTTTGAGCCTGGGCCTGCTTTAGCTCTGGGAAACCAGTTAGGCTGGCCTCTTGTTATTTTTTTCCCAAACTTTCTTTCCTGATTAACTGGATGCCACTAAGCCAAGTCAGGTTTCGTTGCCGCTGTCGCTGTCCTATCACCCTCTGCTGCTCCCTTGAGTCAGGTCCCTCTGCTCTCCAGCCCACGTCACAGAGCCCTCTTCCCCACTTCCTCCCTGGCATCCACTGTGACTTTTGCCCAGACTCTCCTGAGATGTCCCTGCAGTTCCTGGCACACAGGCTTTGACCACTGGGACCCCAGGTCCCTGAATTTTCGTAGCCTTGCCCTGCACCAAGTTTTTTGTGTGGGTTTCAGCACATCTTCCTTGCTTCTTCCCACCACTTCCTCTCATCTTGATGTGACAAGCTCAGGCACACCCAGGGGCAAAGCTGCAGTCTGCAAAGCCCTCTCCCTGTGACCCAGAAACCCCGTAGCACTCCCGGATGGAAACAGAGATTTGGGTGCTCTTCATGCCTAATAAGGCCATTTCTGGGCCCTGCAGGAGATCTGGAGAAGGAGAAACGAAGACTCCAAAATATCTTTGCCACTGGGAAGGACCCAGAGGAAAGGAAAAGAAAGGGCACTCCTGTGCCGCAAGAGGAGCCAGCCCCTGAGGCAGACCGGTTTGAAGAACGTGAGCCATGTGTTGTGTGTGTACAACTGGATGGGGCCAACAAGAGAAAAAGTGTCTGCATCAGACACTGTCCACCCCCTCAAGGAGCATGGGGTCCCCATGTCCCTGCTCTGATGTCCCTTCTCCTCTGTCCAGTGGTGAGGGAAATCCAGGAGAGAAAGGAATTCCTGGCCACCATGGAGGCCCTGGGTCAAGGCAAGCAATACCAAAGGATCATCCTCACCGAGATCTCTCAGGTAGGATGAACGAAACCAAGTCTGGTTTCACCGCCGCTGTCCTCCCGGCCATGTGTAGAGCACAGATGGGAGGCGAAACCATGGAGCACTGTGGCTAAAGTCACATGGAGTCTCAAGCTCTGGCCAGAATGATGGTGGCTTCTCCAGCCCCTACCCACACCCGCTTTCCCTGATCCCTTTTGCAGAAAATACGGGAAATGGAAGACATTGACCACAAGAGGAGTGAGGCACTTAGGAAGGCTCTGGCCACCACCTAATCAGAGATGGGGCAGGGCAGCCCACTCTGGACAGCCAGACCCCACCCCTTGGCAGGGCAGGGCAGGGCCATCCTCACGTCAGCCCACCTGTACTGGCCTTCAGCCACATCAAAAGATGCTCAACACTCCCCTGCCTGACAGCATGGGGCAAACAGTGCCCCGGACACCACCTGGAATGCTGCAGCCACTGGTGGAGCCTCTGAGCCACCGACAGTCACAGGCACAGACTTCAAGTCCTTTCTCAGTGACAGCAAGGCCCAGGTCTCACCCCCATGGACGCCTATCACAAGGCATCCAGCGGCTCTCTCCCTACCACCTCCAGCCTCTGTGTGTCCTGCTCATTTCGTTTCTGAACGTAGGAATGAAGATGAGGCCTTCTTCCACCTGTCTTAGGCCCTGCCTATTTCATTTCTTATAACCTTGGGCAAATGTTTAACCACAGCAATTAATTGGCCAATAAAACATATTTAACTTGGGTCATTCCGCGACTACCTTGTTTTCAGAGGGATAAGGCTTATTTGGTCAGAGTTAGGATTTGTAGAGCACAATCACTTCTCCACCTTTTGGCTATGGTCAAGTGTATATTTTGTGGAGTGCAGATGGTTTCCAGCTCCCCCTTTGCATATTCAAGAGGAAATGGGAAGGGACACCTGTAAGCACCCCTTGGCAGCTTGCTATGGGAAGTACCAAGCTCAGTTAAGTAAGAGTCACCAGATACTGCAACCAAGGGCATTTGAACAGCAAGCAGCCTCCGAGCCTCAAGTTAGCACTCTGCCTGGCACTAAATCCAGGCCATGGCATGAAGTAGAGTGGGAGAGATGCAGGCTGAAGGAGCCCTGACTTTGCAGGCCCAGCTTCGGCATGTGTTTTGTGACCCTGAACAAAACTGAGCCTCAGCTGTGGTTCGTGCATCTGTGAGGCCCTGACTTAAGCTGAGCAGAGTGACCTGACCCCACTCCTGCCCCCCCACCCGGTACACACGACATCAGGCTCTTTCTTCCCTCAGGCTTCTGACACTCACCTGCCCTACCCTCTCCTGTCCTCTTGTTTGATTTTTTTGGTACCGGGGATCGAACTTGGGACCTTGCACTTGTGAGGAAGGCAGCAGAACCACTGAGCTAAATCCCCAGCCCTCCTGTCCTCTTAAATCAAAGTATTTTGGAACTATTAACTGACCCTGCTAGCTGTATCACACACCTGGATGCAATCACATGGGTCTGTCGGGTCACGTGACCAGGGTTTTGGCTTGCAGAATAAACATGGCTGTGCAGCAGCCAACACATTAGGGCTGGCTCAGGAACATCCATGGGAAGCCTGTGTCACATTCCCACAATGACCTGAGGACCAAGGCAGCAATATGACAGGACACGTCCTCCACCTCAGAGCCCATCGCATGGTCCAGAGGCAGCAAACCGGAGAACGCCAGGACAAATTCAGAGTAGGTGTTCAACATTTACAAATGACATGCATATGAATCTGGATTCCTAGTCTTTTTGAAAAACGGAATGGATCCAGTAACCCTGGATCCACATTGATTCCCACAAGCAACCAATGACTTAAGTGAGAGCAGCCACCCTTGCAGAGTGGGACACTGACACAGCCATCTAAGCCCAGCATGGCCCAATCCCTCCTGGGCAACCAGAGATGCCTGCCAAGGAGGCGTGGCTGTGGCCCAAGAACTCAGTCGTCTCCATTTATTGTTGGTGAGGAATCCTCAAGCTAATACAGTGCAATCTCTTCCCCGAGGTGCATGGAGGAGGGGCTTGCCGCGCCCAGGGAGAGCTTAGGGATCAGTGCTTTGATCAAGAGCTGCCGGGCACATTTCCTGGGCAAAAGTGGTGTCTCCATCATTCGTCCTCTTCCATGGCCACCCAGTGGGTAGGTGGCCATCATCCTCTGGTGAGAAGGAGTCGAGGAGGGAAGAGACAACAGGAGACAGACTAGCGATGACCACAAATAAAAATGGGCCCCAACCCAGGTGTGGCTGGGGGAGGAAAGCCTAATGAGGGGTCGGACTAGGTAGGGGGTCACACTTATTAAAGAACCATGGTTAGCACCTACCTGAAGCACATCTCCCTAGGCTGAGGATCAGGACCAGAGCTCTGACTGGAGCTGACCCCCAAAGGCCCTTTACAGGGGACACAACACTGGGACAGCGAACGGGGGCGTCCACCTGCCCTGGCAAGGCCATCAGGGCCCTGTGTGGTGGGAAGCAAGGCTTCCCATAGATGAGGGGAGCTGAGGGAGAAACCTGGAACTCGGAGCGAGGCAGAGGTGAGCTTGTCCTCGGGCCCATCCACATGTGACACAGCATAGGACCACTCAGCAACCAGCTCAAACTCAACCGGAGACTTCATAAATAGAGCGCCTGAGCAAGGGCACGTGAGATTCAGGGCACCCACACTGGACAGGAGGAAGACTGGGCAGGAGGAAGCCAGTCTGGCAGCCCCGCTGCTGGCCAGCCACGAGGAGCAGGAGCCCTGGGCCAGAGCCCAACAGAGGACACTGGGTGTCAGATAATCCTGTCCGGTGTGTTCAGCAGGGAGGGCGCCCAAGGAGCTTCCCCACCATGGCAGGGGCCAGGCTGGCAGGATGAGCAGGCGCACAGGCTCAGCTACCACCCTCCCTGGGCCCTGGCCCCTGCCGGCTCTTCACGTCTGTCAAAGCATCTGGAGATGTCAGAACCGGACTGGGCACAGCTGAGTCATAGCTGTCTGGGCCAAGGGAAAAGAGAAGAAAACTCTGGCCCAGAGTGGCCAGAGGACCCTGAGAAAGCAGAGGTCACCAGAGGCTCCCTGCCCTTAAGCTGTCTCACCCCTCGGCTGATCCGAGGGCAGCAAGGTGCTCCCCAGACCACCAGGAGGGGGCAACCCCGGTGGCTTCCCCGGCGATCAGCTCTTGTCCCCAGGGGACTTGCTCTTGGTGTCACGCTTATTTCCCAGCATCTTCAGCATCTTCATGGTCTTGAACTTCCCCTTCTTCTTGCCCTCAGGTTCAGCTTCCTTCTGGAACTCTGCAGCAGAGGCAGGGGGCACTTTACCAGGTGGGGAAGCAGATTCTTCCCAGGCCAGCCCGGGGTAAGTGACCCGTGTCACTGAGCAGCTGTGTGGACAGTGTGGGCTTGGCCCAGCGACCTGCCTCCCGTGGGAAAACTCGGGCAAGTCACTTCCTGTTCTGTCCCTAGAGGATGGGGACCTCTCCTAGTGTCCTAGCAAGAGACATGCATCTGTGTGACCCCTGATATGTGGCGCACTTAACACTCAAAGGCTTGCTTTACCTAGACTGGGGCTCACATCCCTGTGGGCCCCAATACAGACCCTGACCATCACAGCCAGAGGGAACTCAGAAGTCATCTGTCAGAGCCCCCAATTTTCCCAAGAAGGAAAATGCAGGCCTTTGAAATAAGCTGGTCCCACCTGAGCCCTTTGCAGATGCCAGGTGTGGTCTAAGTGCACTACAGAAGTTGACTCTATAATCAGTGCTCGCAGGGGAGGGGGTCCCCCATCACTCCACTCTGCAGACACAGGAGCGAGGAGTGCAGAGAACTGCAAGCCACTCAGCCCATGTGCCAAAGCTGGGACAAGAATCCAAGCTGCCTGACTCCAGCCTGAGTGGAGACACCACAAGGCCAGAGTTACTGGTGGAAACCAAGTCAAGACAGTGCTCTGTAGCTGATCCAGGCACATGTGACCCTAACAGGTGCTGCTATCGTGACCCACAGACCCGCCCCAGCCAGTCTGCATGTCTCAGAAGGAACCGGCCATAAGCCCAGCAAACCCTGGGAAATCTCCCTGTGTACCACATCCTATGGGCAACTGGGCATCCCATGGCCACCCTCCAAGGATGGGCCAGGGACTTCCTGACTGAGGCTGCTGTCCCAGGAAAGCAACCTGGGACTTTGCATCCCAAAATTCCCATGAGACCTGCTCCAGCCCTTCATCCAACCTGTCCCTTATCTCCCAGCCCCAGGCTGCAAACTCAAGTTCAAATGCAGAAGCCCCAGTCCCCAGGAAGGGACTCACCTTTCCTCTTGATCATGGCTTCTAACATCTTGTCTTCCTCTTCCTCCCTGGAACAGGAAAGGGAAGCTGAGTGCTCACAGGTGGAACCTCCCAGCCTCTGAGCCCGATGGAGCCGGCCCAGGGTGTGCTGGGATTGCTGGCAGTGAGGACAGGGCTGGGCCAGCCTGGGGTGTGGAACTGTATCCCAGGCTCTGCCAAGGAGCTGCCCCAGCCAGGGAACCCAGCCACAGCCTGCAGTAGCCCCTCCCCCTGCTATGTCACCTCTGCCGGTCCTCATCCAGGCAGTTGACGATGGCATTGCGCTGCTCAATGAGGGTCATGAGCTCCTCCATCAGCACCTTCTCCCGGTTCTTGTCCTCTTCTGTCCAGTCTTTTTCTACCAGGGGAGAAAGCCCAGCCATGAGGGGCAGGAAAACCTTCTTCCCCAGGACAACAGCAGTCACCACCTGAGTGTGGCAGGCAGGCCCCATCCTCACTACCAAGTACCTGGGAAGGAAGGGCCAGGGCTTCAGAGATCTTGGGGGAAATGAAGGTTCTTGTAGAAGGGACCAAGGATGTGAAGCTGCCTACCAAAAACACCTTGAAAGGGGCCAGGCAGGCAGCACAGCGCACACTCTAAGAACAGAGCCCACGCGCATCACTGGGCTTCCAGTTCATCCACACAACAGTGTGCAAGGTGCCCTGTGGGAGGCAGGGCTGGGGTGAAGAGATGACAAGGATGCCCACAGCTGTTTCTCAGGGGCCACCTGTGCCTTGGTGTCTCTCCCTCAGCCTGCAGGCTCCCAGGGCCGGGTGCCGCCACTCAGCATTCCCTTCCCAACATCCGCTGCACATCTTTCGATGAACACCTGGGGCTCAGCCACTGCCCATACCCTGACCTCACCTTGCCAAAAGTCAGGAACACCTGAGTGCCCTGCCCAGCTCTGGGGACAGAGCATGGGGTTTAGAGCTACCACCCAAGTTCTAATACTGTTCTGCCACTTCTCAAATCTGGACGCTGGCCATGTCCCCAGTCTACATGTGGGGAAACTGAGGCCCAGGGAAGTTAAATCCTTCACCAGCATCACATAGCGAAGGGGGGCCAGGATTTGAACTAGGGCAGCCTGACACTGAGATGGTCACTATGGTGTCTGATGGGTCCCCAGCCCTCCTGGGGCCCTATAAACCAGCTTTGCTCTCCAAAAGCAACTTCTGGAACAGGATGACAAGGGAAACTTGTCAGCAGCAGGAAGCCCAGGGCTAGGCTGCCTGGGAGGCAGAGGGCGGTACCCACTCCGGCCACAGGGTGTCACTGTGGCCCCGAGTGGCAGCCTCGCCCCAGGTTCCTGTAGACTCAGCGCTGGCAATGGAGGCCAGGGACATTCTGTGGCTTTCCTGGCGACACTCCAGCTGCCCAAGCTTCCCCATCAACGGGGAGACAGGACCGGGGTCCCAGAGGCAGGAAGGGCTCTGTGTGCAGGGGCAGACTAGCTCCAACCCACTTCCTCATCTGTGAGACAGTGATGGTGGCCCAAGTCCAGGGCTGGCACCGAGTCTGAGCCATGGGAAGGGGGTCAAAAGCCTTGGCTCCTGGCTCTGACCTTCTTCTACTTTACTTTTTTGAGTTTTTTTCTTAAGTAGGATCTCACAATGTAGCTCAGGCTGGCCTTGAACTCCCCATGTACCCCAAGTTGGCCTTGAACTTGAGGGAATCCTCCTGCCTCAGCCTCCTGAGTGCTTGGATTATAGGCATGTGCTACCATGCCCAACTCAGCTCTGATGTTCTAGTCCTGCCATCCCAGCCTGTGGCTGTGGTTCACCCCATGCCACAGCCATGTATAAAACTACTGAGGCCCAGAGAGGCAAAGAAACCACCAAAGGTCACACAGCAAGGGCTGATGCCATGCCCAAAATAGGGCGGGTTGCCCTTGGGCCCGATATTCACCTAGAGCCCATCATCCTCACCATGGACATCCCTGCCGCCATCCATGTCCATGCAGCGCCCTCTCCTGGCTCTATCTGTCACTGACTATAATCACTGCCATCCTAAGTGGACAGATGCCCCTCCCCACCCCTTCTCCAGTCAAGAGAGGAAGACTCAGCCCCCACGCCCCCTCCTTGTGTCTCCAGGCAGGGCAGGCGCTCACCTGGCTTGTTGAGAAGGCACCGGAGCTCATACTCGACGTCAGCCTGGCGCTGCTCCAGGTTCTGCTGCTTGAAGCTGAGGGGTGGAAACAAGGCAGCAGTGAGCAATTCTGCCCGATGCCCCACAGAGGAAGTGGCTCTGAGTCCTGCAGAGGCGTGGGTAGGGCAGGCAAGACTCACATGTAAATGAGCTCGGACTCGCGCCGTACCAGCAGGTGCTTCTCGTGGATGAGCTTGAACCAATCCACCAGCATGTCGTCCTCGTGGCCCTCTGCGAGCCAGACACCCACTCAGGGCAGGGCCGGCAGCACCTCCCAGCTGGGCAGCCCCAGGAAGAGGGGCCCAAACAGCCCCAGCCTCTCCCACCAGCCCTCCCCCACTGCTCCGCACCACTGGCCCCGCCTCGCAGCTTCTCTTCCAGCAGGACCCCGCGGTGTTCCAGGGCATCCAGCTGCCGCTCAATGGCATCCATCTCTCCGTAGATGTCCTCCTCCGGGACGTACTGGTCTGCCTGGACCTGCGGATGGGACCCTGGTCACCGGAAGGACCACTTCTACCCTCCTCCAGCCCACGCTGCTGCCAGGAGCTGTGCCCCTCTTGGCCAGCATTGGCCATGCAAGCTCCAGGGACCAGGTTCTGTCCCATGTCCGGCATGGTGAGAAATCAGGACAGTGTGGGAAAGGGTCAGGATGGGGACTGCCACCATCCCTCCATGCTATTGAGATGACAACTTCCTGCCCTTGGGGAAGCTCCTCCCTTCTCGGCCACTCCAGAAGGGTTTCACCACGGGAATGGGAGTGACCCCCTCTTTAGAGCAGCCTCTCACAGGAGCACTTGAACATCTGTCAGTAATAAGGCAGTGCACTGCCTGCTGCTCTCCAGCCTGCTCCAAATCCCCTGGCCAAAAGTCCAGCCTCCTAGGCGGGCCAACCAAGAGCCCTCTCTTGACCATCAGAGCACAGCAGCCCTGACACCCGGCCCAGGGCTGCAGAGAGGAGGGTGCCAGGCCCAGGTCAGCCAAGTCTCTGGGGGCTCCCTGCTGATACCTTGCGTTTGATGAGCGGAAAGCCATGTCCCGGGGCAGGTGGCCTCACTGGCTTGGATCCCTTGGTGGCCTTCTTTGCAGTTGGAGACGCTGCAGGCGATGGCTTCCGGTTAAAAGGATTCTCCTTGCAGGAAGACTAAAGACAGGGACATGACAGAAGTTCAGTCTCAGAAGGGGGCAGCCTGATCCTGTGGGACATGGAAAGCAGGCCAGGATCTAAAGGCAAAAGGGGTGCTCTGAGAAGAGGGCCCAGGTAGGGACAGACTGTTCCCTAATTCCATCTGATGCACTCAGCCATTCAGCAAACGTTTCCATTTCCAGAACACCTCCCGTGGTGGAGTTATAGCACAGGACGCTGTGTATATGCTGTGTATATCTCAGAACCAGGGCTGGGGTGCAGCTCAGGGGTAGAGCACTTCCTGGCATGGGGTGGGGCATGACTCAATCCCACCCTCACCCAAGATTAGGGGAGAATTTTAGGGGCAGTGGGAATAGGAGGCGGGGCTCATAGGTGGCCTCGTTGGCCCTGACCCAGGCCCCTGGGCAGCTGCTGCCCTATGGGTTCCAATCGCTGTTGAAAGACTCCCCGAGCTGGGGAGGGAGAGAGCCCAGCACTGCCACCCACCTCCAAAAGACACCACAGGTAAATCTCACAACCAGGCTGCACAGTGGGCTCCTCCTGCCTCAGCCTCCTAAGTAGCTGGGATTACAGGCCTGCACCACCACATGGGCTTACTCCAGGACGTAGGGCTGAGACACAAATGTCCCCACAGCCCACAGAGCATCTGAAAAAGCTCATCACTGGGAAAAGGCACAGCCAGACCCTCCTCACACCTTCAGGAAGACCGAGCCCATGGAGGCCTGGGAGCACTGAGATGGGGGGAGGACAGGCTGGGCCACAGAGGTGCTTGGCAGGGCATGTCCTGAGGCCCTGGCCTGCTGGGGCTGACCCTGCCCACTGCAAACTCAGCTCACAAGGGGAGCTGTGAACCTCAAAGACAGGGACCATTGCTCCCCAGCCCAGACTCACAGCAGCACTCAGTGGGGCCCGGCTGCCCACTCTCCAGCAGGGGTCAGGGTCTCAGGTGAAGGAAGCCATCACCACACTATGCTCGGCTCAAATCGCCTTCTGGACACACACCTGTCCCCCTGAGCACACTGGGACCCTTGGGGGGTGAAGACAGGGTCTCCACGCCACCACGCCCAGGGCCTGGTATCAACAGAGCCAGAGGGGACAGAAGGGTGGACAGGTACACAGGGTCAGTACCCTGGCCTAGGCAGGGAAATGATTTCTGGATGCACAGTGTATGGAAGGCCACACGGACAGACAGCTGCACAGACCGGGGAGGTCTGGCAGATGGGCAGAAGTATGACATGGATTTGTACCTGTGCCCCACTGCACAGGGTGGTGAGCGGGACACAGCCAAAGCCACTCAGGAAGTCAGGGGCCAGCTAAGCATGGTACACTGTAATCCCAGAGCTCTGGGAGGCGGAGGCAAGAGGACTGCAAGTTTGAATACAGCTTGGGCAATGCAATGAGACCCTGTCTCAAAATGGAAAAGAAACCAAGGGTTAGGGATGCAGCTCAGTGGTTCAATCCCCAGCACAAGAAAGGGGGAGCCAGCACAGATGGGCAGCCCTGAACATCCTGGCCCACATCCATTAGAGGACAAAGCCTCTAGCAAGGGGAAAGGGCACTCACCTTTACCTGTAGCTGTGGGGATGAGCTTCCAGGGGACGGTGCAGGGCTCCTGTCAGCAACCAACAGGAGAGGTGTGGGGGTGGCGCCGCTGTAGGGCTTGGCTGGCGGGGGGCCTGGGCTGTCCCTTATTCTGGCCTGAGGTGTCCGCTCCACACTGGGCTGTACCAGCTCCCCAGACAAGGACAGGGAGGAGTGGGCAGAGAGGCTGGCAGAGTTCCCAGGGGTGCCAGGGGCATGGACAGCAGGCTCCGAGGAGCTCTTGGGCACGGCTGGTGGCTCCAGAAGCTCCCCACCCGCTGTCTGGCTGGAGCTCTCAGATGCCAGGCTCTCTACGCTGAGGGCTGGTGATGGCGTGGCCGAGGGGGGCTCCGAGTGTGAGAGGCGGGAGGCATGGAGAGCTGTGGGACCAAGCAAGCAAGGGGGCAGTCAGGGCTTCCAGCCGGGACATGCTACACCTCGAGTGCAGGTGGCCCCAGAAACCAAGAAGAGAGCACACCTGGTACATGCACAGCAGGACCCAAGTCACAGAGGGTCTGGCTACCAGGACCCCCACTGCCTTTGTGCTCTGATACATGATGGCCCTCGCCCTCATCCAGCAGAGCTGCTGCCTCCACTCCCTGTGTCCCCACCCACACTCCTCCAGTGCCCGAGTCCACCTGAGAGCAAGCTGCCAGGACAGGACAGAGGGGCAAGGCCAGCCTCCCACCTCCGATCTGCAGCAGGAGAGAGGACACTGGCTGTGACCCACCCAGGCCAGACACTGCCGGGCACCATTTCACCCTCCTACAGATAACAGAGACCATGCCACCCACACTTCCCAGATGAGACCACGACTCAGGAAGCACAGGGCACTCACCCAGCCAGGCCTGATTAGAACACAGTGGTGCCCACCTCCAGAGCTCAGGCCCTCCACTCACCCTACATCTGCCCACCAAGGGGTCCCAAACTCAGCACCTGCGCGATCATCTCTAACGCGCTCTTGGCCCCTCTGAGTGAGGAGCACACTGGGCTCTCAGAGGCACTGGGCTCCAGCTGTGGTGGAAGGTGACCAACAGGGTACAAAGACCAGGAGACAGGGACAGCCAGAAAGTTCAGCGTGACCCGATGAGGGGGGGAAATCCTTGACACCCCCAATTCACAGACAGGGACTCTGCCAGGTGAGAGCCCAGGTTGCTGGGCAACTGAAGTGACAGTGACAGTGACCCAGTGAGGAAGGGTGAGAGCTAAGCCTTACCATAAATGTGCCTTCCAGGAGCCCAAAGCTAGGCTGTGCCCTGCACTCCCCGAGCCCATGTTTAATCAGCATAACAGGAGGGGTTATGAGGAGGGACAAAGGCCAGATGGCTGGGGTTCAAATCTGCCCGGTACTGCTTCAGTATGTGGGAGGGGACGGTGAACCCCACACCCACGGGCACCTGGCCCGGAGTGGCTCCCAGGACCACACCCCCCTGGCCCGGTTGCCCCAGATCGGCACAGCTCCAGGCAGGCACTCACCGAGCGGGGTCGTGCTGGGTGCACGGGGAGCGGGGCGCTTCTTCGCCTTGGGGCTGCTGGTGGGTGTGATGCCGTACCAGGGGTGCAGGGACTTGGGGGTGCACTCTGGGGGTGCCTGGGCAGGACTAGAGGCCGGGCTGGGTACTGCTGGGGATGGCTCCTCCGTCTCCTCCTCCTCCTCAAAGGGGTTGTAGGGCTTGGCCTCGAGGCTGGCCCCAGCTGCAGGGCCACACTGGGGCATCTCCTCTACGCCACCATTCTCCACCTGCCTGCTGGCCCGGCTTGGCGGCCCGGGGCTACCTGGAGGCAGCGGGGCCGGCTTCTTCTTGGGCTCTGCCTGCACCAGTGTTATCCATGGGGGGTCCTTCCTGGGGGGTGGCATCCTGTAGAAGCACGAGCCAGGCAAGGGGTCAGCCTCCTGCGGCCTCGGGACAGTTTGGAGTCTATCTCCAAGCGGGTGATGCAAAGCTGCCCTTTTCTCCTCCCCAGCCCAGGAGCCACCTGAACCCCAGGCCACAATGGATCATTAGAGTCACATCCCAACTGGGCACCTTGAGGTCCAGGCAGGACAGACCCTCAAGTCACGCAGCCCAGGAAGGACCAACAAGGGGCCATGTGTGACACTTGAACAAAGCCACCCAGCCTCGCAGTGCGTCAGTCTCTCATTCACTAAATGGGGACTTAATAAAGCCTCACAGGGCTGTCGTGAGCACCCAGTGAGTTCCACATCCAGCACCTGAATGTCACAGCATGCAAGTCTCCACACAGGTTAACTGCTAGGGCAGCCCGGCCTCCCAAAGCACGGCTCTCAAAGACCTGGTACCCAGGCCTTCCTGGGTCTCCAATGTTATGGAGAAGGTGAGGCTGGAGAGATGAGGTGACTCCACAGGTGCTGTCCCCTCCTAAGGAGCAGGTCAGGCAGTGGCAGTGGGACTCCCAGAGGGAGGTGCAGGGCAGAGGGCCATGGGCACCATTCCCCGTCCCCACCCAGAAGTAAGCATCCCCTTAAGCCTGACCCTGTGCACCCCCAGGAAGCCATGTCTCCACCCAGGCCCTAGGGACCCCCATTCCCACCGCCAAGGCTGCCAATGCAGAAAAACTTCTCAGGGACCAACATACCTCTCTGACAGCTTGGGAGTCCCTCTGGGCTTGGGGACAGGGGGCTCCTGGAGTCTTCCTAGATTGGAAAGGACAGTGAGCCAGGCCTTCATAGGCAGCAGAGAGGGCCACATGAGCCAGGCAGAGTGGCTGCCTCCCTAAGGAGTGCCCTTCCCTCCTACCCACAGGTCACAGGCTCTGGGTGACCACAGCAACCTCCCCAGCACCTGGCACCTCCCCTGCCCAGCCCACAGGGAGATTAGATAAGCACTGAAGGTGACCAGGAGAACAGTGACAAGGCCAGGTGACCAGGTGGCCAGGCCTCCTGAGACCCCACTTGCACTTCATTTGACAAGAAGGAACCGGAGTCCCCTCAGACACTTCCCCAGTGTGGGTAGGAAACGTGTCTCCGTTCAGTCCAGGTGCTACCCCTCCTAGAAGCCCCTCACCTCCCAGGAGGGGACCCAGGGAGCCATCTGGGGTCTCTAGTGCAGTTCAGAGTAGCTCAGGGCCCCCGGACACCCTGTCCTCCCTCCAGCCTCTGAGCTCTCCCCGGCCAGATACTGACAAGCACACAGGTGGGGCATGGAAGGTCACCGGAGTGTGCCTGGGGACTGGAAAGACACCAGTTCGTCCAGAGTCCCCAAGACACTCAGGACACACAGGCACACACAGAGACACATTCACTACTACACAGCCAGAAACACCAGACAATCACAGAAGCACACAAACACCCCACACTACACCCGCTGAACGGGGCAGCCTGGGAGGCCCTGTGTCTCAGCTGTACCAGCTTTGAGGATGAAGCCAGCCCCAGAGAGACCCACAGTGACCATTGCGGCAGGAATTAATGACGTCAGAGACACAGGCGACATCCAATCCCAAACACTCCCAGATGCACAGGGACATTTCAATGCCCACACACTGGCCCTGGCTGCACCCTTGCTCACCATTTGCAAGGCCACCACTGCCACCCTGCTCTGCTGTGCTGTCTTGCTGCAGGCTGGACCGGGGCCGCGGTGTGGGGGCCGTCGAGGCCACACTGTCGGAGGTCTTCCTGGGGGCAGGCGTGGGTCGGCCGGAGGGGGGGCTCACCAGCTCCTGGGGTTTTCCAGGAAGCGGGGGCTTGGTGGGGACATGGGGCCGGGCCTCGGTGATGGCCTTGGGTCCTGCAGCGACACTGGGGCTGGGACCACCTCCCTCGCCATCCCTGGCTTCTTCTGTTAGTTGCTGAGGCTTTGGCTGTGAGGGAGGCCCAGGCCTGGCTCCCGCCTGTCCCCCTAGGCCCAGCCTGGTACAGCGTTCCACACACACAAAGGTTCCTTCCTCTGGCCCGCTCCTGTAGGCACCCGGGAGCAGGGTGCTGGAGCACTGCCGACACCTGCCGGGGACAGGACAGGGTTCCCTTAGCTGGGAGCCCAGCAGGACAGTGGTTCCCTACACCAGAGGCCAAGGCTGCCCCCTCCCCAAGTCCTCCCAACTGCCAGAGGATCCTGGCTCAGTACCAGAAACTCCTAGAAAACACAAATGGTGGTAACGGTCAGAAACACTGAAACAATGAAAGAGTGTGAAATCTGCACCAGAAATTGTGAAACACGCCTTGGGTCTGTGCAGTAACAGGAAGCCCAAAGGCAGCCCCCAAGGTCTGTCCAGCAGGAGGGCTGCTACACTAGTGGCTCCAGAGATCAGTTTGGTGGCTTTCAACCAACCAGATTAGTTTTGGGGTTTTTTTTGCAATTCTGGGGATTGAACCCAAGATCTCTAACATGCTAGGCAAGTGCTCTGCCACTGAGCTACATCCCAGCCCCAGGTACATTTGTGTTTCATGAAACAGAATAAAATACAATGTATTACAGTGAATCATACAAACAAGGACAAACTTTTTTTTTTGTACCAGGGATCAAACTCAGGACCTTGTGCTTTTGAGACAGGCAGCGGAACCACTGAGCTAAATCCCCGGCCCAAACTATTTTTTTTTTAGGACAAGGTCTCACTATGTGGCCCAAGCTGACACAGAATGCGCTTTGTAGCCCAGGCTACCCTCAAACTTGCAATCTCCCTGCTTCAGCCTCCCATGTGCTGGGATTACAGGCTGTACCGCCAATGCCTGGCCAAAGATTGTTTTATAAAACCCTTCTTTCAGTTGTTCATCTACAGACACAAGTTTCATTTTAGGTACTTAACATTCAGTCACAGAGTCAAATGCTTTTCTTTTTTTTTAACTAAGTCAATGTAAAAAGTTTCTAAAAGACTGCTCAGCTGGCGAGATATGACTGTGCCTGTGTAACCTCTTCCCCCATGACACGTCTGTGTCAGGGTTCCACACCCACGCTCACACACACTAAGCAGATCAGGTATGTGTAGCAAGTCAACCCTTGGCTTCCTTTGACTATTTATATTCAAATTTCTTTTCTGGTTTCTTCTTTGCAACATAAAATATTTTGGGACTGGGGATATAGCTCAGGGGTAGAGTGCTTGGCAAGCATAAGCAACACCCTGGGCTCCATACACAGCAACACACACACTCACACACACACACACACACACACCAAACTACACATTGTCTAAGTTTTTGCATGTTCCTTGCCTCTTACATTCCACTTTCTTTAAACCTGGCCTTTACCCAGGAAGCCACACTTAAATTAAATTACCATGATTTTTTTTGGGGGGGGGGAAGAGGGAGAGGGTCTCGCTATGTAGTTCAGGCTCTAAGGCATATACTGCCTTCAATATGATCAGGGAGTTATCCTCAAAGAGCTTAGGGATGGGGAACAGGAGTCTCCAGCGGTAGCCCTGTGTCAGTCATGAAATTCTCACTAATTATGTGACTGGGAAGATCTTTGTCCCCAGCTGAGCCCCACTCCGCTCCTCAGGACATGGGGATGAGCCTGGCCAGGGTGCTTGAACCTGGGGCCCTGCTCTGGTTCCCAGTGACTCACCGGAAGCAGTGGCGGTGGTATAGCTTCCCCTCGGCCAGGTAGCGCTGCACCAAGTGCACATGTTTCTGGCAGGCCGCACACGTGCTGCTGGGGGCCCGCTGGGCGCCCCGCTCCGACAGGCTGCCCGAGGACAGCTCCTCATTCTGCAGGGAACAGGAGCAGTCACCAGCTATGTGGTTCCAGAACACTCCCATGCCCTCCCTGTCATGGCCATTGTCCCCCCGGTGTGACCCAAGCTTCTCGGTGGCCATATACAAGGATCAGAGCCCTAGAACCAGCAGAGGCCTGGAGACCATGACCATCTCCCAGATGAGGACACCAAAAGCCACAAAGGGGACAGACTTGCTCTAGGTCACCAAGCTGGGATGGAAAAATGTAGATTTCTGGTTTCTGAGGGTCGCTGCCCCCAGGAAAGGCAGCTTCTGATGCAGCCACTCCCTGTGGCTACTCTGGTCTCTCCCACTTCCCCCTGGGGTGGCCCTCCCTGAGGGCTCCATCTCTAGTTGAATCCCGGTGCCTTTACTGCCAGCACTGTGACCTGGGCATGTCTCTGGCCTTGGGTCCCCACCCGCAAGATGGCCCTGCATAGCCCGTGCCTGTCTTGGTCCCACACGGCCTCCCTGGGTCTCTGTGCCCTGGACCTGGCTGTCCCTGAAGCATGTGAAAGACTGGTGTCCTTGGAACAGGTGACTGGCAGAGTGGCCTCATTTCCCTGGTGAGTGGCCTGGGAAAAATGACCAAACCTCACTGAGCCTGAGTTTCCTCCTCTGCCATCAAGGCCCATGACACTGCCCTCCCCGAGCTGTCACTCAATGGAACCATGCAGGAGCATTGGATCTCTGACTCAACAGGAGTCAGGGGACATCTGCTCTAGTCTGTGTGCAGCTCCTGACTGTCCCATGATGGCAAGGTCACAGTGGGACCCTCAGAATGAGATTGGAACCTAACCCCTGGCCCCTGCCCTGGTCTGGGAGACTCAGTTCCCAAAGCCAGTGGGAAAAGAACAGACAACACCTGTGAATACCGCCAGGGCCAATTTTCTCATGTGACAGTCACTACAATGACAACTGTCCCCCAAGCCACCCTCTCAACCCGAGGCACCTGCCTACCTGAGTCTCGTCTCCTGGTTCAGCTGGGATGGGCGCCTCTGATGGTGGAGACGAGGCAGCCAGGTCCTTCCGGGGTGGTGATACACTGGCTGTAGAAATAGGAAGGGTGGCTGAGGCCACAGAAACCTGGAGCCTGGGAGGCTCCGGCTGTCTACAGACCAGAGTCGGAGTCCAGGGCAGTCGGCAAGGGCAGCCTCCTCATCACACAGACTGGGGGACACCTTCACTTCCAAGCCACGTCCTGAGGACAGGCCACTTAACCTCACTGAGCCTCCGTCAAACGAGGACAGAAATTCCTACTGTGCAAGGTCTGTAGGAGCAACAGTGCCTTGGGGCAGTCACGCAACTCCCAGGGTGTGGCAGGACAGACAGCTTCCTTCCCACCCAGGTAAGCGGGCCACAGGGAAGGAAAAGAAAAAGCACACAGTGCTGGCCTGAAGTCTCAGGAAGATGGACCTGTGCCCTGGGTAGACAAGGAGCTGGCCAGCCTACCCCAAGTGACCAGGGGTGGCCTGGAGCCTTGTTGCAGCCCCTCGGTGGGGAACACCCACATCACCCAGGGCTTCCCGAAGGCTTGCTCCTCCTCCCTACCCAGTGCGTAGTCACCAGGCCCCTCCTCTGCACCCAAGGCAAAACAAAACCCCCAAAACCAGAGAAGTATACACCAAAATCAAGGGCACTGTGTGATAATGTAAACTGTAACCTCAGACTGTGAGAGGCTGAGGCAGGAGGATGTCGTGCTGGAGCCTAGCCTGGATAACTGAATGACTTAGTGAGACCCTATCTCAAAATAAAAAATGAGGGCTGGGACTATAGGCATGAGCCACCATGCCTGGCTATAACCAGCACATTTATAAAATGAAACAAGGGCCAGGGATTTAGCTCAGTGGTTTCGCCCCCTGCTGCGCAAGCACAAGGACCAGAGTTCAATCCCCAGTACCAAAAAAAACCAAAAAAAGATATTTTGAAATTTTGTTTCATCTTTTGAGGGAGGCGCAATATTGGGGATCAAACCTAGGGCCTTCACACTGAGTTGCGTCCCTAGCCCCCCAGACTTTTTCTTTTGTTTTGTTTTCTAAGACAGAGTTGCACTAAGTTGCAGAAGAGAAAATATCTGCAACTATAAAGCGCATCACATGTTGTAAGGGGAAGAACTGTTTCCTGAAACTTGTTTCAGTTACATCCATGTGCCTGAACCTGGAGCGTGGTGGAAAATATATTCCTTACTATGAGTCATGATGAAAAGCTCTGGACACCAGTGGCCTAGGCAGGTCCCTACAAGACCTCCTCCCTCTGCACCCACATCTGTCCTTATCCCCTACCCCTGGCCTGATTCCTTCCCAGATTTTATTTGGAGGCGGAGGTTGAGACAGGTTCTCCCCCTATGTGGTTCCAGCTGGCTTTGAACTCATTGTGGAGCCCAGGCTGGCCTTGAACTCCAAACCTCCTGCCTCGCTCCTGAGTAGCTGGGATTACAGGCGTGCACCACCAAGCCCACCCCCAGCACGCAAGCACGTACTCAAACACATTGCTTCTTACCCCATTACCCTACTTCGTTCTTTCACCAGGCTCATCTGAAATGATTCTACTTAGGGATCTGTTCTCTATCGTCCTCCCTGTCACTAGAACACAAGCTCTGTGTCTGGCTCACTCTCAGCGGCCCCATCCCCCAGCAGCCAGTGCTCGCCTGGCACACAACAGGCCTCATAAATATTTGCTGTAGAGCTGTGAACAAGGCAGAGGTGGTCCGGAGGAGAAGGAGGGTGAGCAAGGAAGACAGGATGGTGGCTGCGGATGTAGCTCAGTGGCAGAGCAACAGCTTAGCATGCAGGAGGCCCTGGGTTCAATCCCCAGCGCCAAAAATAATCTATTATGACTGTACTCCAGGGCAGGGCTACAGGAGCACTCGGAAAGTCGGGGCCACAGCCTGTAGGAAGATAAGAGGACAAGAAGGAAAGACTCCACCAGGATGCAGAGGGGGGCTTGGGAAGCAAGACAAGCAAGAAAACAGGCTGAGCAGAGATGGAATGTGATGCACTCAAAGAAGCACAAGAGCCTGGTGTGGTGACGCACATCTGGAACCCCAACATTCAGGAAGCTGGGGCAGGAGGATCGCCAGGAGTACAAGGCCTGCCTGGGCTACAAAGTGAGTTCCAGGCCTGCCTGGGCTATATGGCAAGAATTTGTCTCAAAAAACAACAACAAAAATCAAAGAAGCATAAGAAATTCAACATGGCTGGGACAGAGAGTGGTTTTAGCCACCTGAGGCTCTGAGAAGCCACACTGAGCAGCTGAACGTCATCCTAAGGATACCTGCCCTGCACCCTGGGGACAGGTGGTCCTCTTCTGATTCCCACAGCCACTAGGCCTCCTTCTCTCAAGCCCTGGCTCCCCTGCCAGGCTGTGGCTCCTTTAAGACAGGCACCACCTATGTGCCTGGTACTCAGGGGCTGGACCAAGCTCAACACTCACCCCAGCACTAGTATCTCAGCCAGGGCAGGATCCAGGGCTACAGAGCTGGGGAAAGCCAAGCCTGGTGGAAACCACACTTGAAATCCCTCCACTCGCCCAGAAAGTACAGCACAGGACCATCTGGGGGCACGAAGAGCCAGCTCTGTCCCCGGGGCTGGAACACATTGTAGTTTCCTTTGTGTGAGCGGCAGATGGGATAAAAATGGTTTGTGTTGAGGTGCTGAGTGGGAGTTTTGCAAGGTACAGAGTGCCTTTCTCAGAGAACCCCCACAGGGCAAGGGGTGCTCCGCCCAGACACGGGCCCCTCCGCCCAGACACAGGCCCCCCACACTACATATCCAGCCCTACAGGAAGGACCCTTCAGGAAAGACTAAGATAAGTTTGGGTTTGGCCAGGAGGGACGGTTGAACTGTGATTCAGGTCACAGTTGATTAATGGACCTTGATCATTCAGCAGGCTAACTCGGATCAGTACAAAAAAGGGGCACACATGCTCCCCAACTTGATGTTCAGTTTACACCTCAAAAAGGCCATCATAACCAGGCATGGTGGCACACACCTGTAAATCCCAGCACTCAGGAGGCTGAAACAGGAGGATCGCTGCAAGGTCAAGGCTGGCCTGGGCTACACAGTGAGTTCACGGCCACCCTGAACTACACAGTGAGACCTTGCCATCTTAAAAAAAAAAATTCATCTAACACACTTAGCCTACTGAACATCATACCTTAGCAGTACAGTAAGTATACTACGCTGCACTGAAGATCCAAATTGGAAATAGTTTCTAAGAATGTAGACTGTCTAGCACTGTTGTAAACTAGAAAAATCATGTAGTTCAGCTATGCTAAGTTGGGGCCCATCAGCGATAAGAACACTCATTTGGGCCCTAAGCAAGGGGAAAATGTGATTTCACACATTGTCTCATCTGCCACTCTCATCTACTCTGGGAAATGAACACCACTCTATCCCCACTACAAAGGGGAAGCTGAGCCAGGGAGGTTAAGTAACTGGCCCACAGTTACTTAGACAGAAAAGGGCAGAGAGAAAATTTTGAGTCTATGCTTTAAACTCCACGGTAGCTATACTGTCTCGCACCAAGGGCTGTGGGGTCTAGAGTGCTCCTGTCCTTGATATGAGCAGGTGCCAGAAGTCCTGGGATGCTGAAGCCTCCTACTGGAAATGCACTGCATTTAACCTAGCACACCCCCCTTTATATGTAAATCACCTCCAGGTTACTCACCAACACCTAGTGCAATGTAAAAGTCAGGTAAATTGTTGTCATCTTTCATTTTTTAAAGAAATACTCCGTGCACATTCAGTACAGACCCAATATATTCAATTATTATTATTTGTTCAATTGTGGCATTAACCCCCAGGGCTGCCTCGCAGAGGGAATGACAGATTTCTTTTCATATTTATGCCTCCTCTCTGTTCTAAATTTTCTACAGTGAACAAGTTTCACTTTTAGTAACAAAAGAAACCCCTGACTTGGTGGGAGACTCTGTTTTGCCTTAAGAGATGGATTAGGGCCGCCCACTCCATGAGGGCAGGAAGGAGTCGGACCCCTGGAGTCTCAGCCCAGCTGTTCAGCTTCTCTGCTGTGTGTTCCCCCTTGCTTCACCTCTTGGGCCCGCTTCCTCTCTGCAAAAGGGAGGCTCCCCTGGGCCGGGAGAGGTTTCTGCCCCAGCTCCCAGTCCAGTCTAGAACTCACTTCATTGGAAGATGCCACACAAAGGTCCCAGGGGACAGTGCCACTGTCCTGCTGGAGGAAGAACCTAGGGATGAGTCTGAAAACAGGAAGTGAGGGTGGGTGGAAGTGAATTCACAGTGCGGGTGAGTGCACCTGCTTCTGTCCCATTATTACTGTGCTCACGTTCTGGTCTCTGCGTTTGTCGTCCAACTCCCTCACAGGACCAAGCAGCGATCCCATTCCCAGCTGTGAAACCCAGGGCCCAGCCCTGCGCTGTTTTACTCAGTAAAAACTTGAATGAGTGACTTGAATGATGATTAAGTGAACGAGGGACGGGCTGTCCTCCCCTCCCCCACTGCCTGTTCAAAGCACAGAGAACAAGTGACAAACACCCTTGGGCCACCCCAGGGCCAGCTCCCCTGCAGGGCTGGGCCACCTCTCACCTTGGCTGGGGCTGGTGAAGTGGTGGTAGTACTGGGACACATAGGTCATGATGCTGAGGCAGTCGGGGACACTCATGGAGACCATGTCATTGGGGTCCAGGAGGGCAGGGATCCCCAGCTCCTTTTCAGCCACTTCAAAGGCCTGGCAGGGGGAGGTACGAGGGCAGGAGTAGGGGTGGCCAGGCAGGGAGAGGAGAACACAGAAGACAGAGTGTTAGTGGGTAGAATGGGCACTTCTGCAGGGTGACTGTGGGTCCCCGTGGCTTCACCACCACCCCAAACCCCACACGATGGCCCAGATGTTCAGCCAAGGAGCCCAGGGAGCAGGGATGAGGAGGGACAGTGAAGGCCTTCTTAGGACCTGCATAAGACCCTGCCCTCCCTCAAAACACACACCCACAGTCTACATCCAGACTCACCAGACGGTTATTCTCAAAGACATTGTCCTTGGAAAGGGAATCAAAATCTCTGCGAGAGGCAAAGAGAGGAAGGTTGGTCAAGAGAGGAGGCAACGGGGCAGGACTGAAGTCAGAAAGAAGCAGCTAGGCAGGGTGGGCGGAGGAGGGCTGTGGATTTCTGAGGGAAACTGATGCAGCAAGCCCTTGCTCATACAGCTAGTGCTGCCGGGAGGAAGCAGAGGTGAGCTCAGGGTCCCCACAGGCTTTGGAAGTCACTGGAAAGGAGTGGACTCAAGCCCAAGCTTCCAAGTGTCTGATCCCTTCCTTTCCCGAGTCTAGATTCTTCCCCAGGAAGCCATCTCCTGCGTCAGAGGTGAAGACATGACCAACCCCAGGTGGACGCTGGCACTAAGAGGCATCAGGGATACTGGCTCCCCACGTGCCGCACTGTGTCCAGCTCCTCGCCTCAGTGAAAGACTTTCAGGGCAGCTGTACTTGGGTATTTATCTCATTCTACAGATGACGACACTGAGGCTAGGGAGGAGGGAGCCACCCAGTCCCCGGAATCTGTACTGGTGTCCCTTCCACCGCGTGTCACAGACTCACACAGGCTACACGCGCTTGCTCAATGTGAACTCAGCAGGCACAGGATGAATGTTTTTCTTAACGGGGCCAGGAATAGAAGAGCAAGTCTGAACCGGAGTGGAAATGGTATGGAGCTACTTGCACTGAATGGCTGCTCCGCCTCACTAGGCCACCCCAGGGGACCACTTCGGGACAGCTTCCCGGTTCCTAAACTGGGACAGGTGAGAGGCGGCAGGACCTGGCCCAGGCTAAGGCATGGGACAGCTGGCCGGCCTGCTGGCTGTATTTATCCCCCACCACCCCTCCCACTGTAGGCCCCTCGGAGGCAGCTCAGCCCTCCTGCGCCTGCCTGCCTGCAACCTCCCCTTCCTTCTATGGCTGCAAATTGCAGCCTGCAGGGCCTGCATCTCTTCCAGGCAGGGCTCTGTGACCTGCACAGGTCAGTGGACCTTCTGGCCCCATTTTCTCATCTGTGAGCCGGGGCAAGCACCAGCCACACATGCCAGGCTGGCAGAGCCTGGGCTTGGTAAAGGGGAGGCCTCCCCATGCCCCCACCCCTTTCCCAGGCAAGGCAGGGAAAGCACAGTGAAGCTCCCCTACAAGGCCTCAAGGGCTGGAGAAGGGGCCTGGTATGAGCCCCAGCACCCTTCTGCCAACTCTGGCCAGGACACTTGGCTGTCTCACTGACTCCCCTGGTATCACTACTGCTCAAGAATGTGGCATTCAGCAAGCTCAGTCTCCCGGTGTGAAACAGGACAGGCCAAGGGTATACCAGCCCAGCCCTCGACACAGACTAGGTCCGAGATTTGCCTGTCATTTGTTTCAGCCTCCCCAGCAGAGTTCCTGGAAGGCTGGGGTCACATCTATCCATCCTGTGCGACACCTACCCAGTTTCTGATTTCAACAACATGAATGTTTGTTAAATGAATAAATGGTGAAAACTCTAAAAGCCCACAGGACACTACAGTTTTTCCTCCAACTTCTTCCACCCCATCTTTGTCCCTCACTAGCATTCGGGTTTTGGTAACAGATCTTTTCTAAGATCTTTTCTAAGAACTTTCCAGAGGCCTGGAAAGTTCCATCTCTCTCTAGGGGAGAAAAAGGAATAAAAATGAAATCTACATGATCCCTGGACTCAAAGGAGTTTAGAAATGTTTTTGCCAGGGGAAGAGGACAGACCAGGCCAGGACCCTCTCCCTGGCACAGGCTGAGATCCACCATGGCCTTGAATCACTTCACCCCCGAACCTACCCCTAACTCTCATGGAAATCCACTCCTACCCATAGCTGAGGCCTTCCTTATGTCTTTTGTGGAACCTGGGCCTCAGCTTCCCACCCACCCAGTGACTGGCCTCCATGGGAAATGACTATCTGGACTTGATTCTGGATCCCATCTTGGGAGGGGCCCTACCCTCCCCCTCTCACTTCTCTGGGCACATCGCTCCCCAGCCAAAACCCACATGGCCCGGAGCCCCCGCCCACCTTCTGTAGCCAGCCCAAGGCCCTCAGTAGCCTGTCCTGAGCCCATCTCCTGACTCCTGCTGCCCTGTGTCACCAGCCCAGGGTGGTGGCTCTGCACATATCCAGGCCTTGGACCTCTGCTCAGGTGGGGCCCACAGCTGGCTTCATGCTTGGCATGTCACCTGGCTTCTCTGTCTCCTCGGAGCTGTGCTCTCCCCCGGGAGGTCTTGTGGGGACACTGATGAGAGCAGTTGGAATTGTCACTGTTTATTCACCTGTTTCTCCCCAGTGCAGGAGAGTGTGAGGGGTCTCAGGTTTTGGTGGTTGGTTATCTCCAACACCAGGTATGATGCCCAACGCAGAGCAGTAACTACAAATATTTATTGAATAAATTAAGGCACCAAGACACTGGCATCCTCCCCCTCCAGCCTAATAACACCACTGTACTTAGAAGAACTAAGGTTAATTGCATGTTTATTACCTCATTCAACTCTCACAATCCTGTGAAGTAGGTCTCATAATCAGCCCCACCTTACAGAAGCCCGCAGGGACCCAATGATTCAACGGAGGTCTCACACCTCCATTTCAAGGTCAAGAGGCTTGGATCCACCAAACAGGCTAGCTTGGCACCCAAGTCGCTTCTCATTCCATGCCTGTCCCCTGCCCCCTGCCTCCTGCCCTGCAGCCTCTGCTTCAATACAGGGTCCAACTCCAGTACAGTCCTCCTCTATCATAAGCACCTGCTCCTGAATCCCCACCCTCCATTAGTAGAGTTGTCACATGCCACCTACATCACCACCCTCAAATCCTCTCCTTGCCCAGAGCCCAGCCCACCACTGCAGCCATGTGCCACGGGGCCCAGAGTAAACCAGGCATGTGTACCAGCGCACCATCAGGTCCTTGGCCATCCTCTCCAAGCCCTGCCAGGTACTGCCCTGGATGGGGAGCAGGTCTAGAGGTGAAACACACAGGACTCCGGGCCCTGCCAGGCTGGGAGAACCAGAGAGGGAGGACCAGGACTTCCATTCCAGATTTGCAGATGAGCGCTGAAGCCCAAGAAATGATGGGCACTGGATACACTTTCAGTCATTGTTTTATGAATGAATGGAAGGAAGGAAGGAAGGTAGGTAGGTAGGTGGGTGTTCCGGGTCTCAGAGCAGAGACCGCTCTAGGGAACAGAATATATTCCCCCATGAGAACCTCACTGGGCAGCTCCGGGCAGGAAGGGGCCACTTCAAGCTTGGAGGCCAGGTGGTGGCTGTCAATTGGACCCCGAGTCCTCCCAATGCATCGACCCTGACTCTTCCTCCCTCCTCCTCTGTCCCCAAAGGGGAGGGAGGTTCCATTCCTAATCAGGAGGTGTTCAAGAGCTCGATGTACCTCTAGCCATGTAGCAATCGTTAATCTAGGAGCTCCTCTGTGCCAGGAACAGTGCTAGTGCCTGAAGTGGGGTTCATTGTCCCCACAGCAAGGGGTCGCAGAGGGATCAGCCCTCAGTGGTTTATGGGAATGGAGAGGAGGGCCTTCCCTCCACTCTACTAGGTTCTGGCTGGGCTATAAACCAGGTTGACATAAAAGTGCTGAACAGAAGAAAAACTGTATTTAATGACATACATCAGCATGAGCATCTCAAAAAATCTAGGACTTGAAGGAAAGTCAGATGATGGAAGCTTATATAGTATCCTGAGCTACAAGAAGGACAGGGGCTTGGGCTTTGGACAAGGGGAGGCCAATGTAGGCTGGCGGGTCGTGCAGAGGTCTCTGGTATTGGGGAGAGAGACTACTCAAGTCGATTTCTTTTACAAAAGGGCAGTTACCTGAGGGACTGGAGTTTCTCAGATCTGTTCAAATCTGCCGAAGAATTCTACTTTGGGGTGGCACATTCTGACCTCCTACAGTCACATTTTGGGACGGTGTGTCCCGAGTCCCAATATTAAGGAGGACTCAGCGTGCCTGCTGGAGAGGAGTTTAAATGGGAGAAGCCGGGGTCCCCAAGGAGGGTTCAGTGCCCCTTCAGAGGTCAGGGAGTCGGGGGCTCAGCGTCCCTCGCGGAAATCTGAGCCCCTTCGCCGGCAGGCTAGGTTCCTGTCCCAGAGGGCGGGGCCAGGAAGGCTCGGTGGGGGAGGGGGACTGCCCTTCGGGGGTCTCAGGGAACCTATCAGGGGTCTCAGGCATCCGATCGGCGTTCGGGGACGTCGGCTGGGTCGTGTCCCCAGGGGGGCGGTGCCTGCCACCACGTCACTGAGGGGGGCGGCGGTGCCCAGCCTCGCCCGCCCCGCGCGCCCTGCGCGCCCGTAACTCACAGCAGGTCGGGCCGGTGCCGGTGCAGGATGGCGCAGAAGGCCAGGCCGTCCCGGAAGGAGCTGCTCAGGTCGCGGATCTCCACGCCGCCGTAGCCCTCGCACTGGCGGCGGCACCAGGCCAGCAGCGCGCCCCGCGGCCCGGCCATGGCGGGTTTCCGGCTGCGGCTCGGGGTTCGGGTCCGGGTCTCCACTCGGGGCCGGTTTCCGGCTGCGGCCCAGAGCGGCGCGGCTCCGAGCTCGGGGCGCCCTCCGGCGGGGCGGGGCGGGCGCGGTGTCCCGGCTCGTCGCGGGCGGGTCCGGGCCTGGCCCCCTCTCCCCGCCCGCCCGGACCTGCCCGAGCAGCAGCGCCGCCCCGCGTGGCCCGCCCGGCCCGGCCGCCGCCTACTCACCGCTGCCCGCTGCTCGCATTGTGGCCGCCGCCCGGGGCCCGCCAGCGCCGCGGGGGAGCGGGGAGGGGGCGGCTTGTGCCCCACCCAGCGGTGGCCCCGCCCCCGCAGCCGACCCACGCCCACCCCCTGCCCCACAAGGGCCTGCACCCCATGGCCCCTGTCTAGGTCGTCCCCGGGCCACCCCTTCCCCAGGGCCAACCCCTCGGAGAACTCTGCGACAACCCGCGACCCGCACGCGAACCCCTCCCCATCGCACCCCGCGGCTCCTAGCGAACCCTCCTCCTCCAAGCGCGGCACCTCCGTCTTGTTCCCGGAGCCTGCCTCCTCCCTCCCTGTAAGTCCCCCTCGCTGACTTCTCTAAGGCCACCCCGCACCCCGCCTGAAACCCTGCAGACCCCAGCACCCCCGCCACCCGGGTCCACCAGCTTTCTTCACCTGGCCCTCCAAGCTAATAAAACACCCGGCCAACAGACAGCTATTTCACCATGCCCACCCCCACAGTCTGGCTGGGGCTCGGGCCCTCCAGCACCATCAGTCCAGGTGACCCTGTAGTAACAGTCACAGGACTGAGCCCCGCAGCCAGAGCTGGTCCTGCACAGTTCCCCTCTTGGGCTGTGTAAACTCAGGGTTCCCTTCCCACACCCATGTGGGACGCAGGTCCCTTCAGCCCTGATTAAAGAAGCAGGGCTTTGTCCCCTAGCAGGCCATTCACATCTGGCTCTGGAACACAAACACACACACACACACACACACACACTATCTAGCCCCTTCCAGACCCTGCCACTGACCCCTCCCCAGGGCCTCTCCTGACTCTAGGCTGATGAATCAGCCTTGCTGAGCTCCGGGGTGGTGAGATCACCCTGACCCGTGCAGTAGCTGGTTGGAATGGGTCTGTCACTGCCTCCCAAGAAAAGGAACAGACAGGGTCTTAGTCATCTGGAACAGGGGTTTTGGAGTCAGATCAACCAAGGCTCCAATCTGGCCTCTCCCATTCCCTGGCTGTGTGATCTTGTGCCTCCCTAAGTCTCAGGGTCTCCATTTCTTGAAAATGAGGATATTCCTGCTTTACAAAGTGGCTGAGAGGATGAAGATGCAAAGTACGTGGCCCTCCTACCGTCTAACCACTGATGCATGGTAGTGGTAAATGGGATGAGATAGGTTGAAATCTTTTGTACCCAACTTGTCACTTGGGCCTTGGGATTAAATTATCAAGAAAAGAGGTGGCTTTGGGAAAAGTCTACCTCCTCAAAGACCAGAGAGTTCCAATCCAGAATACAGTTATGATCTGAGGCCTGGGGACCCCAGCTGTCCAATCAGGGTCAGCCTCATGCCCCTGGGCGTGTGCAAAGCTGGAAGGCAACCATCTTGAGCCAGATTGTGGACTCTCAGTTCACTAGGAAGGGGCTGTCAGGTTCCAGCAACCCAGCCAGCCTTTCCTCACCAGCCTCAGGCCGCCATCTCCTACCCTGTGTCCTACAGGAAGCAACTCCAGAAAATCAGGGTCCAAGTGCTCCCATTAAATCATGGCCATGGACTCAGGATCCTGATACCAGTATGCAACTTGGCCTTAAAGATCACCCAGGACTCATTAAAACCCAGGAGGGAGCCGGGTCCAGTAGTGCAGGCCAGTAATCTCAGCTACTAGGGAGACTGAGATAGGAGAATAGTAAATTTGAGGCCAGCCTGGGCAACAAAAAAATATATAAAGGCTAGAAAAAATAGAAGGCCTAGAACCTGCCTCAACCTCATCTCCGTGGTCCACACTCCAGCTCCAGGCTCTACTGTCAGGATTGCTTCCCTGCCATGCCCAGGACAGGGAAGCTGGTACAGAGGTCTCTGTGTCTTGGTCTCCCACATGTCCATCTCCAAGGGATGGAAAGCATCCAGGTGACTGCCTTCAGATAAAAGCATTCTTGGTGTCAGAGCCCATGGGAGAACAGGGATGAGAGCTCCGTGTCCCCTGGGAAACCAGCTTCAGTTCTGTAGCAACAGCTTGTAATTACACCAACCAGGTGGGTAGTAGAAATGATGATTAAGGCATGAATGAAAAATGAAAGACCCCTTTGATTATGCATGCTGGAGATTTGGTTCACTGCAAGCCCCTGGGATCAATCCCCAGTGCCATTCCCCCAAAATACCATATACTTTATGTCCCCAAAATATTATACATCCCAAGAAGAATTGTGTCCTAGGGGATTCCCTTTAGGTCACCAAAGACTGCTCCAGATCTGGCCTTGTCCCTCTGATTGTCATAGCAGCTTACACAGCAGAGCCCTCTGGCTTCCATCAGCAGTGTGTGTGGCCTGATTTGTGTGCTTTATAAACACAGCTCACCATGGTAGGAGGCAAGGACCTGCACAACCACAGCTGTGTGACCACAGGCCAGACGACTCACCCTTTGAACCCTGGCTCCCCTGCTGCCCTGTGAGGGGGATAATAACCTTGGCTGGGCCATGGCCCAGGCTGTGGGCACTCAGGTGAGGTCATGGATGGGGAAAATGCTGTGTAGACTCTGAATCCAGGGTTCAGGTGAGGGTGCATCTGTATTATCAGATGAAGTCAGAAGCCACAGGCGGATCATAAGGCAGATACTTGCTCAGAATCCTGCCACAATTTCAGGATTAGGACTGAGTGACTTGAGCCCTTAATTTTCAGTGTTTTCTGTTTTATTTTTATTTATTTATTTTGGTTTTTTGGAGACAGTGTCTTTTCTTTTTTCCCTGTTATCCGGGATCAAACTCAGGACCTTGTGCTTACAAGGCAGGCACATTGCCACTGAGCTAAATCCCCGGCCCTGGAGACAGGGTCTTGCTTTGTAGGCTGGCCTTAAACTCACTGTGTAACCCAGGCTGGCCTTGTAACTCATGGCAGTCCTCCTGCCTCAGCTGGGATTACAGGTGTTCACCACCACACCTGACTTCTGTTTTATTTTTTATTAATTCAGTAGGGCTGGAGGTGTAGCTCACTGGCAGAGCTTTTGCCTAGCATATGTGAAGCTATGGGTTTGTTTCCCAGAACTGCAAGGAAAAAAAAGGTGTTGTAAGAGAGTGACTAATGGGGACATACAGGGCAGCCACCAAGATAATGACATTTGAATTGAATGATGCCTATCTGCCAAGAAGTCAGGTTAAGCTGAGGATTTTAGCTCAGTGGTGCCCCACCTGCCTCGCAAGCACAAGGTCCTGAGTTCGATCCCCGGTACCAAAAAGAAAGAAAAAAGGTTGAAAGCAAGCCAGTGAGACATCATGACAGAGCAGAGTTTGAATCTTTTTGGGGGGACATGGTGCTGGGGATCAAACCTAGGACCAAGTACATGCTAGGCAAGTGCTCTCCCACTCAGCTACACCCCTCCTGGTGAGAATGAATGAGGAACTGACTTGGACCTGGGGCATACATCATATAGAGATCTCAAGGTAAGTTTGAGAGGGACAGGAACCCCTGTGGATGGGACACGGGGTTTGGGGACAATGAATATCATCGTGGCCACCTGGGAACCTCTGGCCATTGGTCCTGGCTCCCTGATTGTGTACCTGTTCAGAGGTCCATGTCTTCTTCCATCTCAGAGCCCAAGGTGGACCTGTGTGTTCCTGGGGTGGGAGTAGCTGCCCAGCCAACACATTCACCCAGACTGCCTCTTTGCCACTGATTTGCTGAAAGGCCCTGAACAAAGGTGTCACCTGCCCAAAATTCATCATCACCATCTTTTTTTTTTTTTTTCAGGTACTGGGTATTGAACTCAGGACCCTGTGCTTGCAAGGCAGGCTAGGTGCCACTGAGCTAAATCCCCGGCCCATCAACATCACCATCAATAGAAGCTGAAGATCCACCCGTGTGATGTGCAGGCCCCATTTCCAGGACTCTGTCCTTTGGGAGTGCTGTCCCAGGGCCCCTGAGATACACACACAGATATGTTTATGGTTCATGAGCTACAGAGCATGGGAAACCACCCAAGTGTTCCTTAGTAAGGGGCCGGGCAGTCAAGTTTCAGCACAGCTGGACAACAGCAAACCCACACAGCTGTGAGAAAGCATGTCCTGGGAAGCCAGGTGCAGTAGCACATGCCTATAGTCCTACTTACTTGGCAGGCTCAGGCAAGAGGCTCAGGCTCAGGCTCAGCCAACGTCATTCTGGGCAATGCAGGAAGACTACAGCTCTTAAAAGAAATAGCAGAAATGCGTCCCAAAAAGAAGTGAAAAAAAGCTGTAATCCAAATATTCTGAGAGGCAGAGGAAGGAGGATCACAAGTTTGAGCCCATCCTGAGCAACTTAGCAAGACCCTGTCTCACAATAAAAAATTAAAAGGGCTGGGGTTGTAGCTCAGTGTGAAGGCCCTGGGTTCAATCCCCAGTACTGCCCAAAACAGCAAGCTGTGGTATATAGGATCCCATTTTTGTAAAACTTACACATATATGTACAGATAATTGTGTATCTAAACACATATATAAGCATAGAATTTTGTTTTGTTTTTTGAGACAGGGTCTTGTTATATAGTTCAGGTTGGCCTTGAACTGTGAGCCCAGGCTGGCCTCGAATTTGTGGCAATCCTCCTGCCTCAGCCTCCAGAGTGCTGGGATTACAGGCATGTGCCACCATGCCCAGCTACACATAGCATTTATTTATTTATTTATTTATTTTGGTACTGAGGATCAAACTCAGGCCCTTGCGCTTGCAAGGCGGGCAGCGAAACCACTGAGCTAAATCCCCAGCCCATACACATAGCATTTTAAACATCAGGAGAAAAGGGTATGGGTCCAAATGGTCTCAGAGGGCAATCCTGGCAGTAAGACTGGGGGCTACAGCACATTCTATTTTTACAAGTAATTATGGTTCGAATTTATAACGACTAGTACATGTAACTTTTTCAGATAACAGCTGAATTGAGATATAGTTCACATACCATAATATTCAGCCTTTTAAAATGTATGGTTCCTGGTTGCAAGACTCACAAAGGTCATTCTTTTCAGCCCACTGCCTAAAACACATAGACTTTGTTGTTAATAAAATATTTTCTTTTTTTTTGTATTTATTTATTTTTCAATTCAGTTCATTGGTACATTTTAGGTTTACAGTACAGTTACATTCATCATTGGGATCTTGTACCTTCACATGATGTATCTTGGTTCTTATTTTTTCCCCATTCCCCTGCCCTCCCTTCACCCCCTCCACCTAATAAAATATTTTCTTTATGAAAATAGTACGGTTCCACTGTTTTTCATGTATTCCCAGAGTTGTGTGACCACTGCCACCGTTTAATGTTAGGGCTCTTTCATCGCCCCAAACACTGTGTCGCCACCAGCCAGCACTTCCAGGTTCCCTCCTGCCCTGCCACTCCCCCGGCCGCTGGCGTCCAGATCTGCCTGGGTCGCTGGATTTGCCTGTCCTGAATGTTTCATATAAATGGAACCCGGCATACACTTGTGATCTTTGTGTCTGCCTTCTTCACTTAGCATAATTAGCCAGTATAACTGTTTTAGCAGTATTTTTAAATTATGGTAAAATATACATAATGTACAATTTTCCATGCCAGCCAGGTTTAAGTGTACAGTTCTATGCAGTGGGAGCGTTCACATAGTTGTGAAGCCACCACCACCCTCATCTCCAGAAATTTTCCATCTCTCCCAATTGAAACTGTGCACGCATCCTTCTCCTCGGCCCCTGGAGAGCACCATTCTATATGAATTTTTTTTTTTTTGCACCAGGGATCGAACTCAGGTCCTTGTGCTTTCGAGGCAAGCGGTGGAACCACTGAGCTAAATCTCTGGCCCCACCATTCTATATTCTATGCTGTTGCTTTTTGGGTTTTGGCTTGTTTTTTTGTTTGAGACAGGCTCTCACTAAGTAGCTTAGGCTGGTCTTGAACTTGCAGCAATCCTCTTGCCTTGGCCCCTCAAGTGCTGGGATTACGCCATTCTGTTTTCTTTCTATTTGAATTTGACTCCTCTAGGGACTTTATATAAGTGAAACCATACCATATTTACCACTGGTTTGATTTTTTTAACTTCTGCTCTGGTTATAGTATTAAGCACTCACTTAAAAAAAAGCATTGCATTTTAACTTTTTTATGCCAATACAGCATTGCTTGCAGTTTAATGCCATTGGGTGGAAATTAGGCTCTGCTTTTGCTTTTATTATTTTATTTTATTTACTTTTTGTGGTGCTGGGCATGGAACTTGAGGTCTTGTCCCAGCCAAACGCTCTATCATGGAGCTCCCACTCCAGCCCTAGGCTCTAATTTTAAAACCAGCCCCAAGCAAGCAAGAAAAAATGTGCCCACTCAGCACCAAGGCTACAGGCAGATCACTGGAAAGCTGAGAAATCTGGGTAACTCAGGGAGGCGCAAACATAACTTTTACAATGAAAAACAGTAAATGAAATGAGAGAGCAGCAGCCGCATCTGTGACTTCTAATGCAGGACAGCACATTTCTAAGCATCTTTAACATCAGATTCTAGGATTCTTGTCCTTGGATTCTCTGAGTTCCATGGCTGCTTCTGCAGGTCTGACTACTCTTCCGCCCAGGCTGTGGCCCGGGCCCTTGGCTCCAAGCTGGTCCCCAGGGGGCAGCCTGGCAGAGCAGGGGACAATAGGAGCACTGTGGGCCCCAGGAGCAGGCTTGGACAGTGGAGGCGAATGGGAGGCTTGGGGCAGGCTCAGCAGCTGCACCACAGTCTCCACCGTCGTCCTGGGCCACTGGCAGCTCTGAGCATGCCAGGACAGCACCCTGAGCCCTCACTGCCGCCTGCATGTGGCCCGGGTCCCTGGAATTAAAGCTATGTCTGAGGTCAGCGCTGTTCCCAGCCTCTCTGTCCAGACCACCCTCCCTCATGCATCCACAAACGTTTGGCAGGGCTGCCGCCCAACCAACCTCCACACCAGACGGCCCTTAACTAGGCACTCCGGAACAGGAACAGGACCTGCCTGGAGCTGGGAGGGCGGTGCTCGCTGAGCTGGGAAGCTTGGACTTTGTCTCTGGGACGTCCAGGAGACGGGCAGGTCAAAGAAGCTACTGAAATGTCCAGCCTGGAAAGTTCCAAATCTAGCACCGCCCCTCCACGTGCTGAGAGGAGAGATGGAGCCCAGGGAAGAGGCTGTTGCTCAGGGTCGCAGAGGCCTTCAGAAGGGGAGGTCTCAGCCATCTCACCCCCCTCTCAGCTGCCCCTGGACTTCTAATTGCTGCTCTTCCAAACCAAACCCCACTTCCTGAAGCCTTCCTTGACAGGTCCCAGGTGAAAGGGCATGGATCTCAAGAGGGCATCCATGCTGAGGGCAGAGAGGAACTCAGAGGGCTGTAAAACAGAACTGGTAACCATCACAACCAGCAGTCAAAGATGCCATGCTGGATAGGGCGGAGATCTGGGGAAAGTGCTACGGAGTACCCACAGGGCCTCTCCCTCTGGCCAGGGGCAATCCTCAAAGGCTGCATGGAGGAAGTGGCTTTTTTCTTTTTTGGTACTGGAAATCGAAACCAGGGACTTCACACTGAGCTACATCCCCAGTTTTTTTATTTTTTGAAATGAGGTCTCACTACATCACTAAGTTGTCCAGGCTGGGCTTGAATTTTCACTCCTGCTGCCTCAGGCTCCAAGATTATGGGCATGTGCCACCATGTCTGGCTTAGGAAGCAGTGTGTATTTATTTACTTACTTACTCAGAGACAAGGTCTAGCTATGTAGTTCAGGCTGGCCTTAAACTGACTATGTAACCCAGGCTGGCTTTGAACTTGCAGTGATCCTCCTGCCTCAGCCTGCACAGTGCTGAGATTACAGGTCTGCACCACCACGCCAGGGTTTGGTAAGTATTTGTACATAGGTATGAGATACAGAATAAAAGACACAGCTAACTGTTCTGGGCACCAACTGTGCTCCAGGCACTGTGGCTCCGTTTTTGGTGCGCTGAGGTTTGAACCAGGGTCTCACACATGCTAAGCAAGTGCCCCAGCAGAGCCCCACCCCAGCCCACAGTGGGTATGCTGTTGTGTGAAATGCATCACCTCGAGACTGCCCAGCCTGAGCTAGTGCTCTGCACTGGTGAGAGTGCAGCTGAGCGGACACAGCCTATTGGGAGCATCATGGCTGAAAGGTGCAGCTGGGACTCAGCCTCACTCTTCCTGACCTCAAAAGGAACCTCCTTCGCCCTCAGGAGTATTCCTGTGAGTGGAGGCAGGCCCTGTGTCCAGTTTGACACTGTCTCATTCACTGTGGGCTTCCTGGGTGGTAGTGGGGAAAAGTCCTCCCAGCAGCCCCAGCTCCACGGTCCAGAGGGCTGGGATGCACTAAGGCCATGACCCATGGTGCCCAAAGCTGGCTCTGGGGGGCTGGGGATTTAGCTCAGTGGTTCTGCCACCTGCTTCATAAGCATAAGGTCCCGAGTTCGATCCTCAGTACCAAAAAAAAGAAACAAAACCAAAAAAGCTGGCTCTGGGGCAGCCCCGGCCTCCAGCCTTGGTCTTGGGGGAACTTCCCATCTCCCTTTCGTATAATCAGTCCTGGGTTTCCCCAGGAGGCCAGAGGCTGACCTTTGGGCGCTAGAGTGGTGCTCAGGGCCCTAAGACTTGGGCTCCTGTTGCTTAGGGTTGGTCTCCATGGCAAGGCCCCTGCCTGTGCTCTGGCTGTAGTTTTAGGGGAGCCCAGGGGTTCTGGGCCATTAGAGCGGTCATCTTCCCAGTATCAACCTGGCCTCTCTGCAAGTTGAAGGCAGGAGAGCAGAAACGGCTCCTGAGTTTTCCTGACAGGAAGGCCACTTCTCTGAGGACTTAGTGACAAGGAAGGGGCTGTCACATACAGGAAGGGGCTGTCACATACAGGAAATGGCCTGCTTGCTTCCCAGTTACCTGACTCTAGGCCATCCAGTGAGCCAGGCAGCTCTTCCTGCCAGAAACAGAAAGTGAATTTTCTGTTGAAGCTCTGGGAGTTGCTTTCTTCTCTAAAGAGAATAGAGGTTAGACAGGGCATGCCTCGCCCCTAGGTGACATGATATGACACAACACCACACACCTGGGGCCGGGGATTTAGCTCAGTGGTTTCGCTGCCTGCTACACACCTGGGTCAACCTTCTAGTGTCAGATTTGGAGATCTAGAAAGGCCCAGGACCGGGAAGATGACAGTCGCCACTGACTGACAAGGATGCAGAGGTTGGAGCCACGAGCCTGAAATTGCCTGGTTTGAAGAGGGACGTGAAGTGGAAGGAGCATCCCTCCTGCCCCCAGCCATGACTGGAGGGAGGACAGGCCCCCTCCTAGGCTGCTGGCCCAGAGGAAGATGGGGCTCAGGAGGAATTCTAATTGGCTGGAAGGTGTGGCTGGACCAGGCAGGGTGGGGCAGAAATAGGGAAAAGCCAGTTTTTACAGCTGGCTTAGCAGGAATGTGGAGCCACAGGAACCAGGATGAGCGGCTGCTTCCCATACCCTGTTCTTCCGGAAAACCTCAGGAAACCACTGGGCAGCTTTGAAGGCCCATCCCCCACCTCCCTCTCCACCTCTTCCTGAACCCCTTCCCCACCCTGGAGGCCAGTCCTGCACCCGGCCCTGCCACACACTGGCTGCGGTGTCCACTCTGCAGGGCGAGCTGGGGCTGGATGCGCAGAAGGGAAAGGATGGGCGGGAAGAGCCTGGCAGATGTGGCCAGTTTCTGTGCGCTGGGGGCTGAACTGGACAGTGCCCCCATCCATACATCTGTGCCTCTCGGCTCCACAAAGGACTGATAGCTTTCTTTCAATCCTCATTCACTTATTCCTCAGGCATCTGTCATTCATTCAACAAGATCTCTCTATTTGGTTTCAGCCCCAGCTCTTCACTGCCTCTCCCAACTCTTATGCCTTGGGTTCCTCCACTCTATGTCCCACCGGCTCCCCAAACTCCTGTAGGACCACAGTTCTGTACCCCTGCATGTGCCTCCTGTTCCCGACCTGCTCCAGCACCAGCTAGGAGTGGCTCTGCCATCACCCAGCTGCCCAAGCCAGAGCTGGGCTCTGCCCCCTGCAGCCTCAGGTCCAAGTTCAGTTCTCTGTAACCTTCCCACCTCCTGTGAGCCTCCCGCCCCTCTCCAGGCTTGCTGGGCTGTCCCGCACAAGTGCCTCAGCCTCTCTGGGAACTTCTCCACCTCTCCCCGTTGGCCTTCCCTGGGGTGCTAGGGACAGAACTCAGAGCCTGCACAG